CCGATCACGGAGGCCCTCAGCTGAAGTCATCTCCCCCCCAAGCTGCAGAGGCCTTCAGCCGAAATGGCCCCTCCCTCTCTGGGCTCAAACCTCAAGACAACCAGCCAACCAAATTCTTTGGGCAAGTTGCCTGATGGGATAACCTCCCATCAGCAGCAACATACCCTAGTTTGAATGGTCGAGGCTCCTGCCTTGACTGAACCCTGTTAGCATCAGCAACATTTTCCGTTTTTTAGTTATAAGACTCTGTTTACCATTTCCAGCTATGCGTTTCATACGCTGGAATGGTGTAACCTAGCAAGGGACGATGCTTGCGCTTGCGCAGGACTCCGCCCTTAGTTAGCTTTTTTGGTCGGTTGGTTTGGTTGCTATTGGCATATTCATCGCCCTGATGACGGAGGCAGTATGACCTCTGAAACGTTGGTTAACATCGACCAGCTACACAGCGCAACAACCCAGAAGACAGCAGTCTTCATACTCACCGCTGTGAAAACCTCAAATTTTACAATGGTTAACATGTTTTCCATATTGACATCAGTTCCTCCATAACATTGGTAACCACCTACAAGACTACACTGCATCACAGCTCAGCAGACCATACTCAACCCGTTCACTACTGTGAGAACCTCAAATCTCAGATAATTAATGCCTAATATTATTTTTTATTGGTGTTGACACATTGCACAGTGAATGTACTTGTTTTATTACAGGGAAGACAACTACTGTGACATTTTATGTGTCACTGACTGGGGACAGACACTGTCCTTCTACACTATGGGTGGAAAACTGGTCGGCAAAGAGCGGAATATTGGATTTGACCCATTGTGTGTGAACTACTTCAACAAAGGAGAGTATTTACTAATTGGTGGCTCAAACCGACTTTGCACCTTAATGACTAGAGATGGTATCAAACTGGGATCAGTTGGTGATGAACAGCCGTCATGGGTTTGGTGCTGTGCTGCTCGCCCTGATTCATCATTTGTGGTGAGATCTCCTGTCTTGAGTAGAACAAAATCCATGAAACCACTGCTTATTCTGCTGAAAATTGGTTCAAGAGCTGAAAATATGACAGCTAGGAAATGGCATAAAGGAGTGTGTCTTGTTTAGTCCCTTGTTCTCATAGTATGCTTGATCCTTAGGAGGTGGTCTGTCTAAATTAATTGACACTATGAATATTAAGAATATGGCTGTCTTTTGGGTTGCTGCACCATGTAGTCTGATAAAAGTTTACCAGTGTTTCAGAGGTCTTTCTGCCTCCATTATCAGGCTGATGATGATTACGAAATTATATTTTTGTAAAGTTCTGTGTCTGTATTCATATAATTCTTCATATTTCTTTCTGGTTTTATTTGTACAATTTTAGTAATTTGCATTTCAGTTTGTGGAAAAGATGTAACAGTTTGAATTATAAATGGCAATGACAAGAAGATAAAATGCTAATATTAAATTTAGATTAAAAATGGTTATTCTGAAAAATTACAGCCTGTAACATCTCAAGAAATACAGAAAACATTGAAGTACCAGCTCTTTAGTAAAGAAATGGGAGTCCAGGCTGATAAGGTGACAAAATAGGCCTGAATAGGATCTCACTGTTATTTCCACACTGTATGACTTGTTCCTGAACATGTAAAAATGTGTTTTGAATTCAAAATGTTGCAACATGCCAGCTGAGAAACACTGCTTTATATCATCAGCAGACAGTCAGTCAAGGAGTTGGTTATGGTTACTTATTCCATACTCAATAGTTCTCTAATTTTTAACTTCTGTCCCATTTGTTAGAATGAAGCGAAGTTCTTCAAAAAACATCATCAATTGATGTTTCTACCAGGTTGGGTCATTTTATGATAGAACCTGCTCCATTCTTTTCTGTGGCCCTATAAAGACACTTCTTCAGATTCCCCTGCTGTATTTTATACTCTTTTACCTGAGCGGCGCATCTGTTCAGGCATACCTTACAGGTATACCTGTACGTGTGTAGCCAGCTTTAGTCTTCCTAATGGCCATTCAGCAACTACAAAGAACTGCATAGTAATTTGTATTCAGTATCCTGTAAGGATGACCTCACTCCTTGGTTCTTTCAGGCTGTTGGCTGTCAGGATGGCACACTTGCATACTATCAGCTTATTTTCAGTACTGTTCATGGACTTTATAAGGAGAGATATGCATTCAGGTCAGTTGAAGTCTGTTTATGTAGGTGTTATTGATCACAGTAATCATTTATATTTCAGTTGAATTTCTGATTTGCAGGGAGAACACGACTGATGTTATCATTCAGCATCTCTTAACAAATCAGAAAGTCAGAATAAAGTGTCGAGATCTAATCAAGAAAATTGCTATTTATAAGCACAGATTAGCTGTAAGTATAGTGTAATTTTTGGTGTATTGTATGGGTTCTTTGTATGGCATGAACTGTGTTATAAGGACTTGTGTATTGGTGCTTGGAATATTAAATGTCTGCATATGACATGTGCTTTACAATTGTAGTTTTCTTGGTTGTCATGGCATGTGATCTTGTAGGTGGTTATCAGCATTCCTTCAACACATTTGTAACCACCACAGTGTATGACAACCATTGTTGCACATATTCTTCTGTAGGATTCTTTTCTGGCTTGTGTTTGGGTCTTCAATACACAAAGTATGCACTGTCCAATTAGTTTAGTTTGGAATAACTTCCTTTGTTAATTTAAACAGGCCTCATGTAATTCCATTATAAGCAGATTTTACTGTTGTCACATTGAATTTCTTGGCTATGATGGTAATTTGGTTCCTACAATCAGGTTCAGCTCCCGGAACGTGTGGTTATCTATGAACTGAATTCTGGAGACTCGGTAGGAATGCATTATCGAGTAAAGGAGAAGATAAATCAGAAACTGGAATGCAATCTGCTTGTTGTATGCACTGAACACTTGGTCCTCTGCCAAGAGAAACGGCTGCAGTGCCTCACCTTTGAAGGAGTCAAAGAGAGAGAATGGGTGATGGAGTCTCCCATTCGTTACATCAAAGTTGTTGGTGGCCCTCCTGGTCGGGAGGGTCTTCTTCTGGGTGTAAAGAATGGTCAGGTGTGACAGGTATACCTGTACGTGTGTAGCCAGCTTTAGTCTTCCTAATGGCCATTCAGCAACTACAAAGAACTGCATAGTAATTTGTATTCAGTATCCTGTAAGGATGACCTCACTCCTTGGTTCTTTCAGGCTGTTGGCTGTCAGGATGGCACACTTGCATACTATCAGCTTATTTTCAGTACTGTTCATGGACTTTATAAGGAGAGATATGCATTCAGGTCAGTTGAAGTCTGTTTATGTAGGTGTTATTGATCACAGTAATCATTTATATTTCAGTTGAATTTCTGATTTGCAGGGAGAACACGACTGATGTTATCATTCAGCATCTCTTAACAAATCAGAAAGTCAGAATAAAGTGTCGAGATCTAATCAAGAAAATTGCTATTTATAAGCACAGATTAGCTGTAAGTATAGTGTAATTTTTGGTGTATTGTATGGGTTCTTTGTATGGCATGAACTGTGTTATAAGGACTTGTGTATTGGTGCTTGGAATATTAAATGTCTGCATATGACATGTGCTTTACAATTGTAGTTTTCTTGGTTGTCATGGCATGTGATCTTGTAGGTGGTTATCAGCATTCCTTCAACACATTTGTAACCACCACAGTGTATGACAACCATTGTTGCACATATTCTTCTGTAGGATTCTTTTCTGGCTTGTGTTTGGGTCTTCAATACACAAAGTATGCACTGTCCAATTAGTTTAGTTTGGAATAACTTCCTTTGTTAATTTAAACAGGCCTCATGTAATTCCATTATAAGCAGATTTTACTGTTGTCACATTGAATTTCTTGGCTATGATGGTAATTTGGTTCCTACAATCAGGTTCAGCTCCCGGAACGTGTGGTTATCTATGAACTGAATTCTGGAGACTCGGTAGGAATGCATTATCGAGTAAAGGAGAAGATAAATCAGAAACTGGAATGCAATCTGCTTGTTGTATGCACTGAACACTTGGTCCTCTGCCAAGAGAAACGGCTGCAGTGCCTCACCTTTGAAGGAGTCAAAGAGAGAGAATGGGTGATGGAGTCTCCCATTCGTTACATAAAAGTTGTTGGTGGCCCTCCTGGTCGGGAGGGTCTTCTTCTGGGTGTAAAGAATGGTCAGGTGTGGAAGATTTATCTGGACAATGCATTTCCAGTGAGTCTTTTGAAGGTTTCTTCTGCTGTCAGGTGTCTGGACCTGAGTGCATCAAGGAAGAAACTTGCAGTTGTGGATGAAAATAACCAGTGTCTGGTATATGATATTCAGAAGAAGGAACTCCTGTTCCAGGTAAAGGATGTCATGATATGAAATGTGGAAGATTTTGAAGCTTATTTGAATAATATTTAAACATTCAGTTCCTACGTCAGAGAAAACACAACACTTCACTCTTACAAAGATTAGTTGGTTAATGCTGTTTAGGGAAATAATTACTCCTCATTCTGAGAACAAACAAAATCGTTAAATACACTTTGTGGACAAAATGTAGAATTACTGATCATTAAAGCAAGTGGTGTGTATGGTTACACTGGGTTTTAAAGGTTTAAAAAATGTTGTGATATCTTACTAATAGACAATGTGTAGTTCTGTGGGTGGTTATCAACATATTTTTAAAATTTAGATTGAGTTCTCACAGTAGTGAGTATGTAATACAAGTAAATTACCATTGCAGGAATCTGTAAGCATTTGGATCACTGGAGTTTATAAATTATTTACACTCTTTGATTGGTCAGTTTCCTTTCATCCATTCACCTGTAACTAAATTGTTTTGTCAGAAATAGTTCCAAAGACATGAATTTTTTTACAGTACTAGGTGACCATGCCAAACAAAAATGCAGCAGAATTTAAATGTTTCATGTGCAATAAAAAGATCCAGCCCCTATACCTGCTTTGGCTATTTACAGAATGATACAGTACAGGTCAGCAGATTTATTGTTACTATATCAAAAGTTCATGCAGTTGCCATGTTGGAATTACTGGTGGCAGGAAATTTTATGAAATGATTTGAAAGTTATTTGAATGAAGGTCTAAGACACGGACATGATAACAGAAGCAGGATATTTCAGTGATAAGTCAGTAATGTGATTATGGAAGTTAGTGTCAGAACATTTCAAAGTACCATAATGATTTGTTTGTATTGCAAAAGTTTTGTTTGTACTTTACTTTCAGGAACCTAATGCCAACAGTGTTGCTTGGAATTCGAACTGTGAGGAAATGCTTTGTTTTTCTGGCAACAACATTCTGAGCATAAAAGCAAGTAACTTCCCAGTTCACCAGCAGAAGCTCATGGTTAGTTCCTAAGGTTCTAATTTACTGAACTATACTAGGCCATTTCAAAAAGGATACTCCTATTTTAAACATTTGTGTTTTATTAAATAATTTGCTTCCAAAATGATTCCATTTTAAATGTCAAAAACTCTGAAATTAGAGTCTTTTTCAGGAAAGATCAGTATAGTTATTGTCACTTTGCGCACATCCAGATGATATTTTGCATATTAGTGGCAATGGCTGCAATACTCAAAATCATGTATGTTGTTGGAATATACAGTATTCTTAATGTATCCCTAACATGAATATGGGGTCACATCAGTATTTTTAGTGGGCCACATAATTGGATCATCACCTCAAGTGCAGGTGGGTAAGAACATTTACTGAATTACAGCACAGTATCACATCACTGAAAATGGACTGGTGTTACAGTGTTCTGAGTTTGTAGAAAAACATGACATTCTGACATATACTTTATGTTGAATGTCTGGCGAAGCAGGGTAGTGATCAAAGGTACCATTGCCACTGTTGCCTGATTCATCAGTGAATTTTTGGCATCTTAAAGAATTAGCTATGTAAGCAAGCTACAATCTTTTACAATAATGGCATTCTTTGTGAGTGTTAAAAATAGGGTTAGTTTCCTAATAATTGCCAGGTTACATTTTGTGTCTGTTAGTCACTACTTCTTGGCAGTGATTGATTTATTTGTACACTTACATTACTCTGAACCACAAATTATTTATTTTGCAGGGGTTTGTGGTTGGTTTATGTGGTTCTAAAATATTTTGTCTTCATGTTTCAACAATGTCAACTATTGAAGTGCCATTGTCAGCTCCGATGTACCAGTATCTGGAGAAGAAAATGTTTTGGTAAGAAACAGGCAAACAAATATATATGAACTCTAGATCTTCTGATATCAGTATTCATACAAATAATGCATCAATTTCCTGTTTCATTTGCTGCTTCCTTATTGCATCTTACTTCAGTTGCTCCAAGGTTCTAATGGTAGACTGAAGAATTTCTTAATTTTGTTAATACTTAGGGGATCAAGCTATATAAAACAAAGTTTGTCATTTGTTTTGTGTAGGTATGAAATATGCCTTTTACTTACAGGTAAGAATATAAATTACAATATTAAAATATTTCATATTGGCAAACTTTGTGACTTGTACAGATCATCAAAAAGTAGTGTGGTCCTGAAATTTAGGTTATGATGGCACAGGCATGTTGCACAGATGGGTGAGATTAATTCATACAGAATTTTGGTGAGGAAACCTGTCAGAAAAAGCAACACTGAAGACTGAGATCAGGGGTTATGATTAGAAATGTGGCTCAGTGCTGGTCTTTTGTGAATGTCTGTCAGTTTTTTAAAAGCAGAAGGAAGTTGTACACCATGGTTTAGTAAATCTTATAAATATGGATATTGCATAATTATTAAGAAGGTTTTATTGATCTTCTGATCCATTCCTAAGACATATTACTGCTAGACATTACTAGTATAGATGGAGAAGTGCATGTTCATATGTTTTGTAATCCAGATGTCTGTAATGATAAGCTATGTTCTAACCTGTGTAAGTATGATTCTCGGGTTTAAAAGGGATACATGAACTTAAAAGGTTGAGTGTGATTGAAAACGTCAAGTCGGTAGTTTCCAGTAGGTATAGTATTCTTTTAAAATTAATATTGTGATTAAAGTGTATGGTTTTGTACTTAGGCTGTTGTTCTATCTGTTGTTCCATCACACACAAATTTCTATTTCAGGGATGCATACAAAGTAGCTTGCTTGGGGGTTACAGATGGTGACTGGGGGGCTTTAGGACATGCAGCTCTTGAAGGCCTTGACTTTCAAGTGGCCCGACAGGCATTTATACGTATTAAGGAACTCAAGTACCTTGACTTGATCAGTGAGTTTCAGGTAGGTAAACTTTTTGAACCCCTGTTTTTTTTGTCTCTATTTACCTACACATCCAATAGTGTGAAAAATTGCAGCCTGGAATTGTATGGCTATGATTATGACTATTATTGCACACTATTTCAACATTGTTATGACTGCAGATCCAAGTAGTGCCTGATGTGTTTGTGGGACTTTCACAGGAACGGCAACGTAAAGGTGAAAGGGACAAAGAACTGTTCCTTGCGGACATTCTGGCTTTTCGCTGTAAGTACAAAGATGCAGCTCATCTGTATCAGAAGTGCAGTCAGGAACAGAAAGCTCTCAATATGTATACTGACCTGCGAATGTTTGATTTGGCCCAGGTATGAGACATCCTACAGTGAGTAAAATACAGATTTTTGTAGAAGGTTGCAAATGTCATAATTTATTCTTAATGTTTTAAAACAGGAATTCCTTGGTTCAGTGGACAGTGTTGATCGGAAAGCGCTGATTCGTAAGAAAGCCGACTGGGCCAAGAATATTAATGAGCCACGAGCAGCAGCTGAGATGTATTTGTCTGCTGGCGATACACGACAAGCTATAGAGATAATAGGAGAGAATGGTTGGATTGACATGTGAGTCAATTATTAGTAAGACTTGTGAATTTTGTAACAGACTGAATCTAGTGGTCAGAACACTAGCCTTGTAATCCTGGAGTCCCGGGTTCAATTCCCGGTGGTGCTCAGATTTATAACTTGTGTTGGGCAAGACCGTGGTCTAGGTATCACGGAGTTTTCCTCCGGGGGCTCCCCGGTTTCTCCGTGGCATCCCAACAGTTACTCCATTCTGGATCATCTGCCAAGAACGTATATGAACAGGTCCCAGTCCGAGAAAAGGATGAAGGATCCCGTTCATATGGACCTGTCGTCAGACAGAACACAAATAATAATAATAATAGTAAATTCATTACCGCCACGGTGGTCTAGCGGTCAGAACACTAGCCTTGTAAGCCTGGGGTCCCGGGTTCAATTCCCGGTGGTGCTCAAATTTATAACTTGTGTTGGGCAAGGCCGTGGTCTAGGCATCACGGAGTTTTCCTCCGGGGGCTTCCCCAGTTTCTCCGTGGCATCCCAACAATTACTCCACTCACACACAGAAGAAGGCAATGGCAAACCACTTCTGATTATCTCTGCCAAGAACGTATATGAACAGGTACCAGTCCGAGAAAAGGATGGAAGGATTCTGTTCATATGGACCTGTCGTCAGACAGAACACTACAAATAAAAAATAAAATAGTAAATTCAGTCATTTCTTGGTCTCCAGAGAAATGTTTGTGTGAGGGACCATGCAATTATACTATCTCCATTTTATTCTACTGAGGCCTACAGTATGTGGAGCTTTACTTCATGTGCTTAGATGTAGGGATGGCTGTATCTGATTTTTTACTTCTTTGACTCATACTACAACTTAGTGGGAAAATATTATCTGAATATTTCATCAGCTGTTCATCATAGAGATTCAAGCTGGAAATATACCAGAATGGAATGGAGAACTGGAAATAGCTAGGAAATCAAGATTGCAGGCTAATACATTAAGACAGGATGTGTGTCTTGGAACCTCTCTTACCTTAATGGTAATCTCACGTTTTCATGATACATGCTGTTTTCACAAATTGGCTTATGGTCACCAAGTCATGCTGTATAACCATTACATGTTAGGTGAGGGAGGTGTTACTTGCATGTTTAAGCCTAATTACTTTTACGTTTAGTTACTGAAATTTGTGTTTTTGATTGCATTGTTTGCTAAGCATGTAATTTGTAACAGCTGTTTCATTTGTGTCATATGGGATATAGGTTGGTAGATGTCGGACGCCGGCTGGACAAGGCAGATCATGATGGTATTGTACTTATTGCGCAACACCTGTGTAGACTAAAACAACTTAATTATGCCACAGAAATGTATAGAAAGCTTGGTGATGAGAAAAGCATTGTGCAGCTATATGTGCAAGCAAGAGAGTGGAAAGAGGCCTTTGCTCTCACTGACAGCTATCCGGAATTCAAAGACCAGGTCTATGTACCATATGCCCAATGGCTTGCTGAGAATGATAAGTTTGTAGAGGCTCAGAAAGGTATGTCATTGAACAATGAAGTAAGGAAACTTCCAGTTTTCTAAATGTAGTCATATTCTAATCTGATTCTTTGTGTTATAAACATATCCTTTCCTAGCCCATGAGCTTGAAGATGTTCTTATTTAAATTATTTAGAACCACTAAACATTACAAAATGAAATACAAGTTTTCTGCTTTTCAGCTTTCCACAAGGCTGGTCGTCCGGATGAGGCTTTTCGAGTCCTGCATCAGCTTACACTGAATGCAGTCAGTGAATCTAGGTTTCAAGACGCAGGATATTATCATTGGGTCCTTGCTAGACAGTGCCTTGATATTGCAAACCAAAAGTAAGACTTACTTATTTGTTTATATGTTCCTATATTTAAATTTAAATAGTTAGATGGTTGGGTGGGTGCTTGGCTGTTATATTTCAGAGGAAAAGGGCCTTCATGATCAAATGTGTAAAAAATACATTGCAAAATGATCAGTAATGTGGAATTAAAGTGTTAAAATAACAAAATTGTTTGATCACAGCATTAAAAATAAAAATAAAAAAGCCGGTTGCAATTTGAACTGTATTTGAATGAAGTAAGCAAGTTCACCTCTAAATAGGCAGCCAGTGTAAAATAAGAACCTGTTGTAATAATTTGTCTTACAATACATAGTTTCAGTAATAAAAATATACCAATGCCAATGAAACAAAGAAGGATTTTAATATAATGACTGTTTTACATGTTATGCATTTTGTTATTTTATCATAACTGTTTGTATATGCATGTATGTTTCTTCTAGACTACTTTTCTGTTTTCAGTGAGGATCATAGGATGGAAATGATTAACAAGTTTTTTGAGCATGAGAAATATGCATGTATTTATTATGCCTACAACACTATTCAGAAGTACCTGGTGAGTGGTTATAACAAGTTGCTGTGTATTATATTGCAGTATATTCATGTTCTTCATGGTTCTTATCGTATATTCATGTTGTTCATGGCTCTTGTATGTTTCAGGATGAACCATTCACATCATATATGCCTGAAGCACTTTTTAACATTTCTCGCTTTCTGATGAATGAAACGAAAGATGTTCGTCCAAAGGGAGTGTCACAGTTTGCTATAATGTACTGTCTTGCAAAACAAGCCAGAAATTTGGGAGCCTACAAATTGGCACGACAGGTGTTGGAGAAAATGCAAAGTCTTCGTGTCCCTCCAAGATTTCAGGTAAGGTGTGAGGATGTCATAATACACCTTAAAAGGATACGGGTGTTTGTTACACAAAGGCATAGACAACATGATAACATGCAAGACTTGTATTTGGAAGGTGCCTATTTGGATCTTGGGTAGGCTAATGGGTGTCCTTATTTTCTGTGCACTTTGTGCACAGAACATGAAATGTTATGGAGAGGTGTGACCACCCATTTATACTCTCCTTCATTATGTGGTATATGTCCATACTGAAAGTTTTTCAGACTGCTCATATAGGTCATAATTAGAGGACTTTTATTCAATGCAGGAATATGTGGATCTTTCTGCCCTTATGGTGCGCTCAAAGCCATACCATGACAGTGAAGACATGTTGCCAATGTGTTATCGGTGTTCTACATACAACCCTCTGATGACCAGCACTACCAACTGCTGCACTAACTGCAGGCAACCTTTTGTGCATTCCTTTGTTTCATTTGGTTTTTTTTTTTATGGAATTCAAAGTTCATTGCCGCGTTGAAAAAATCCCGTATCTGGTTGTTCATATTTATTCAGTTGTTTGATAAGTCTGGTACTGTATTCTGTCACTGACTAGAAAAAGTTAAAGATAGTATTCCTTATAAACTGGTTTAACAGAACAAAGAAAATAATGGTAGGTAGTAGAAATAAACAAAAAGAAATGCACACAAACATAACAATAACCAGAAATAGTTGTGTATTGAGTACATAACACTATTTTACCAACACTGCATGTATGTAATAATTAATAAGTTTGCAAAATGTTTAAAGACCAGAACTTTCAGTTTACTACAGATATTATCTGGATTTTAGTCTAGTGTGCCAGTTAGGTGGAAATATAACTAGAATTCTAGGGATAAAAATACATTTCTCTGAACCTTTAATAGCTTTAAAAGTTGAAAAATGAATTTTATTATTTTAATATTTGTCTCAAAACATGTAGGTTTAGATGGTTGAAATTAATTCAAATTTAAAATCTCAAGGAAGACATAGTGCAGTGAAGTTACATAACTTTTACATCTTTGTGGTTCTTGTAGAGGTCCTGCCATTGGTCGAGTTCCAGTTAGAGCCAGGAATCTCTGATGAAGAAGCAGTTCGGCTGATTGAAGCTCCTGCTCCTTTTACTGAAGAATCCAACCATAGCAGAGGTTGGCTTCAAAGTGAAAGTGACACCTTCCAGACTATGCATTTTGATGAGTCACCTGCAAGCATAGCAGATCCCTTCACTGCTCGACTCATGAGTTTTGAGGTAGGATTTGTCATCACCTACTATGTAATAACTGAATTTCACTTGACACATGTCACAGGTCATGCCTGCTTAAAAGTAAAACTTACTGTGACTATATACAGGTTTAAACCCTTTCCCTGTTGGTGCATTACTAGAATTTTACAAAACAGTCTGCCAATTTTTGCAGTAATATAAGGGTTTTAGGATACTAACACAACACGTCACATATATTTGTTACTCACTATTGAGTACGTCAGATGCTTGAGAAATTTCCTTCTTTTATTGAAACCATTAATCAATTACTATGATCACAAAGGCTTGAAATTAGTTGCTATCATGGGCCAGCTCAATCTAGTCCCTGCCATCACACATTTTTTCTCTCTAAGATAAAGTAGGGTGTCCTTTTTCAGTGCTTAGGTCATGCTAAGGATCCAAATGTGGCACCTAAAACAATAGTGGCACCCATGGCCCATCAGACTTCCATTACTCTTATTAAATCTAACTTATAATTTACTGATGCTTTTGCCACAATTTTCTGTGAACCTGACCTGTGGAGACTCTTGACATTTGAAGAACCAAATCTCATGTCCATTCTGAGAGGTTTTTCATAGTCTGAGGTCATGTGTAAAATTTTGTAACATCACTAGCATCTTATAATCAGAGGTTTGTTTTATCTGAAGTTTTTTGAAAGTCTGATGTAAATGCAAAATTTTATTCTTTCAGAATGTGGGTGATGAATTTGTACCAGTTGTTGTTAATCAGGCAACACTGCAAGCTATGGATCCTTGTGCTGTACTAATTTGCCGATGGCCACATCCCTTGCGATACCAGTTCTACCGCAACTTACTGCCAGATTTACAGGTTACACTTTGTAACTGTTGCAACAAGGTAAGAACCACTCATGCCATGATCACATTTCTACTTGTAATCTATAGCCACAAAACTTCCTCAATTAAAATGAAAATGAAAATTAATTGTCACCAAATTGTTTTCTATTTTCCTAACACATTATATTCTTAGACGTTTAAAGCAGCAGTCCCTGAAATGCTGTTGGTTGAGAGCATCATTTTTGTTTACTTATACATTTGAGGTAGCTTCAGTGTTGTATTGTCTAATATTGTTTTTAGGCATTCTACCTCTTAAAACAAGAAACCTTATGAAGAGCACAACACAAAACCTGTCTTCAACCATTTCACCCTTCTCCTGTGAATGGTACAGCAGTACAAGTACTGGTCAGCCCATGCTCACCTTTTCACAATGCGATGTCTTTAGTTTTTCAGTCCTGTATGTGTTTATAGGTTAGATTAATTTGTTTGATAACATTAGCAGTGCAAAGAAATGGGCCATATGTCTGCTTTGCTCCAAACAATCTGAGGTATTAGTGACACCTCTAATCAACAATTATATGATAGCCCCCTGTTTGTTACCCATTCTCCAGCTTTTGTGGTTAATTGAGTATTTTCTTGATTTTTGTACTGTTCTAATTTTGCTTTTCTTTCCTTTTGTCATTTAAAGAATCTGTTACTGTCCGTGTTATTCTTCCTGGCCTCTGGCTGGCATGTTAAGGGAATCTAGGGGAAGTAGTGGGAGAACTTTCTCAGAAACAACATACTTCACTGCAGCATGCTGGCCCGCAACTACTAGTCTAATGAAAAACATCTGTCATACGTCCCCAATACTTGAGACACACAGAAGACAGCTCCGGGTTATATAGCACTATAGTGTAGCTATAAGAACACCAATATAAGACAATTTCAGTACACCAAAGTATTTGAAATACTACAGTTTATTTTGAATAGGATGCATCTTAAAAGCGACTAAATGTTTGTATCACAACTCAGCAGTGTCAGCAATACAACCTCATGTGTCCACAACAACTAGCCCAAATACCCCTTTGTGAAGCAATATCAGAATGTGAACTTGCCCAAACCCATGGCACACCCACAAAAGAGAGCCCAGGTAGAATAAGTGCCCTTGTCCACGACAAGAATTCCTGCCGTAACGGTAATTCCGCCGGCTGGTAGACAAAACCGGGTGGCCATGTCCACGGAGACAGCAGGCGTGTGGAAAATGTTTCACTCGAGTCGAGGTGAGTCTGTGCACGAGTGCGGTAGAATAGATATGGATGTATGCACCCTCATTGCACTATATTATTTTTACAAAAACAAACAGCGATGACGTAGAATGTCTTGCATCCTGTGTTGCAAGACCAATTTAAATTTGGTGCATTTAGTACGCTGTTTTAAAAAACAAAGCATGTTAATTTTTTTAGAATGTCAAAAGAAACATTTGACAAGTTACTGAAAATTTTATGCATCCATTTGAAACATGAAGATACCTATATGCGGCCCTGCAAAGAAAAGAAAGAATACTACAGACTATGAAACTTGCACGCTCTCTCAAGACCAACTGATGACTGACGGCAAGCTCGCCGGCTTATGGACACGTAGACATGTTAATGCATGTCCCACTGAGAACACGGTGCACCGTCTGGCTGGCGTCTCTACAGTGGGAATCCGGTGCTGCATGCGGCAGCCGGACTGGTAGATTTGCCGTGATGGCTTGTGGACAAATTCTCATATGAAACAATGTATCACTACCAACCCGGTAAATCTATCGGAACGGCGGACGGCGAAAATTCTTGTCGTGGACAAGGGCCCTAACACGGACTATACTTTGTGCTCTAAACTCATTGATTGTGTCTTAGTACAGTGATTAGTATATTTACCAATCAACAGTTACAAAGTACAGCCCCTGTACTAAATATTAATTTTATGAATTTGTATGCTAGGGTTCAATCAAATTTTATTAAAATGCAGTTGGTAGTTGTGTCTGGTGCTGACTGAAGTTGAAGGCAGTTTACCTGAGGAAGTTGCTCTGCAAATTAAATTTCACCCCATCAAGACCAGTATATGTTTTTCATAGGTTTTCCATGTAGATGACTTTGAACTACAAGTTCTTCAGAAAGGACATTGTCCATTCTGTCGATCAACTACAAAGAATGCAGGAAATGAAGCTAATGAAGATACTATTGGATCAAGATAGCAACTTGGACATTGATGGTGTGGGCTGCTACTGGAAACAGAAGTGACCATCAGACTGTGAATTAAAGTTATCTGAGACTCATATAACTTGAAATGTGTCACTGTAGTTATTACTTCAAGAAACATCAGTTTATTGCAGAAGCTGTGAGTTTATAAAAATGCCAGTTTCACAGTAGATTTCTCTTTTCCCATTAAGTTCTCTGTATCAGTACATAATGATTTAAATGGTGACTCTCTGGTAGCAGAATTCAAAATTTCAATACTGCTAATACCAAAGCCCACTACATATAATCCTGAACTAGTTTCATCCACCTGTCATCCTGACAGTGTGTATCCTTGAAGTACATTTTAACATAACTTCAACACCTTTAGTATTTCAGCATTAATAAGCATAAAACAAAATTAAATTCAGTTCATTATGTGTTCTGTCGAAGGATCCTAACTTCAACTGAGTAAACTAGTTGTGGAATCTCTCTTTTGTGAAAATTTCTGTATGCAGTCCTCTCTTTGCAGACATGAAAAGTTTATATAAAGGTTCAAACTGTTAGGTGACTTCAAAACTTCTGCACAGGTTTGTGTATCAGGCCTGGACTTATATACTGTGTTATTTTATTCTTTTGGCAGATAATGTGTAAGAACTTTTATCAACTCACCAGTAATAAAATTACAAACTTTCCTAGTCACTACAATATTCCTTCAAGACTTGATATTTTCATTCTTCAGATCTCACTCCAAGGGTACCAAACTAAGTAGACTATAATATCTTGCAGACAAAATCAGCAGGTTCTGTGGGAAAATATCATACATATACTATGCAGAGGACCTTAATGAATCATTTAGGTGGCAGACTGTATTTTGCTTTGGTTCTGAAGGTCCTTGTTCACCTAGATCTCTTTTCATTTCTGTATGCATCTTGTTTGCCAGTCAGTCCATTGGTCTGCATCCATAGGTGATCAAAATCTACTACTCTTTGTTGACTTCATACATAAAAGAGTTTAAAAAAATCATTTGAAGACAAAGATAACTGCTACAAAACTTTATTACCTATTTTTTATTTTTGTGACTTTATTGACTTATTTTTTGTTCAATAAACTGAGGAAAAAGTAGCATGTAGGATCAAAATAATAAGTAGGATATGAGGATCTCGTGGCAGTGAATATGAAGATTGCTGTCTTCTGGATTGTTGCACCGTGTAGTCTGGTAGAAGTTTACCGATGATTTAGAGGTCCTTGCTGCCTACATCATCAGGGCGATGAGTAAGTTGTGCACGAGGAATCAGTTTGAGATATTGGAACCAATCAGTCAAGGCAGATTCTTGCCTGCACTTTTGGAGAATAAGGTGAGCATTGACCAAGGGCAAGAGAGCCAATAGGAGATGGGGAGTGCCATAGCCTGGCCAACAGGAGGGGAAGGACATGCAAGAAAGAGATTGAAGGAAGTAGCCCTTATAAGGGCCACTCAGGCTCTGTTGGGTAGATAAGGGACACATGGAAATGAGGGTGGATGGAAGGAGTGGGATACAGAAAGGAAATATATGGAGGAGAAAATTAACTAAATATGGTGAGAAAGGAAATAAGGAACTGGCCTGAGCTAAGTGATGTCCTGAAAAGGACAGTGTGGTGGCCTATCAGGCAGGTCAGGGCTGGCAACGCTATGTTTAATGCTTTCTATGTCGTTTCAGACAGTGGATGTAGATCTTCCATAACTAGCTCAGGTGAAGTCAATCTTCCCTGTTCATATTGTTAGGTTCTAGCTTGCTCTCAACGGCCTCCCTGCTCATCCGGTCCATATGTTTGGACTTGATAGAGAGGATGGTGGTGTCCTGGAGTTGAACGCAGTGGCCAAGGTTGATGCTGTGTTCAGACACTGCAGATTTGTCTGGATGCTCCATATGGATGTGTCACTGGTACTCCTTGACCCTGGGAACGGCCATCTGACTGACGTAGACTCGACTGCACTTGTAGGGCATGCTGTACACTTCAGGAGTCCCAGATCTCCCTTTACAGGCTTAAGGAAATATGTTATCTTCTTGCAGGGGAGGGGGGTTCGCAGGGTCACCGACTTTGATGTGTCTGGACAGCAGCCTGCTGATGTGGTTGAAAGTTATTGTCATGTAGGGCAGGAAGGTGACCAAGGCAGGTTTCTTCAGGGTGGTGTGGCACTTGCCAGTCTTGAGGATAAAACACTACACACAACTAGTGAGGAAAATTACCCCTACTGCCCCATATGAAATCTAAATGTTCATTTCCATGGTCACAACAGCCTGCTATTTGTCCCTAACCGTTCACCCAAACTGTACTTTCGTCAGATTCATTTTAAACAAGTAGTCACTACAAATACAAATAGTTAATTTCCTGGAGAAATTTCGTAAATAAAGTTTTCAAAAATACGTCCATGTAAAATGTCATGCGACTATGAAAATTGCTGATAGTGGCACACTGTATTAAATTGCATGCATTATATATATTTTATGTATGTTCTTCATCTAGCTAGTTGGTGGTCCCCGATGTGACCACCGCGGCCTCATTTCCTCTCCCTTAATTTTATTACGGGCATTAATAATTCCAGCACTAAAATATACGTCTCAGGTCATGCAGCAACCACGGAGAAGGTGAAAAATGCGCGCAACTTTTGGATGGGCACACCACTCAGAAAACCTTGGATTGATATTAATGATATTTGATTTTTAAAATTAAAAAGTAGTTATAAACGTCACAAATACAGAAGTATTTTTCGGTTGAGCAACTGTTTTTCATTATCAGGTCTAATTATTCCTATGTGTATTCTACACCTGTCTGAACTTTAGAATCAATGAATGTTAATAACATGTTTCATATCCGAGCAATACTTTATTCTGTATACTTACTAAATTCATCCCTCTTTATTTTCGTTCTTTTTTTTCTTTTTTTTTTTATTCTTTTCTCTTTGGTGGAACTACAGTAACCGTGATTCAAATTGTCATGCAACGTGTGAATATGGTTTAGATCCGTGGTTTGGACGACCTTGATAGAAATTACGCATGCGCAAATGTGTAAATGGAGAAATATCTGTTCGGTTTGATCATAGAAGGTGAAGTTTTAATGTGCGAATATGAAACACTAGTTTACTAATATCCCGTACTTTATATACATGACAGTTTGTTGGTAGATAATAAAATTAACATTTGTAGTAATAGTAATTCCTTCAAGATCTTTATCAGGAGATTTGTTTGTATTTTGTATGATTTGTAATATGCCTGACAGTGTACTCTCGAATTGTTTTAAGTTAATAATTTTGTGTATTAACGCTGTTTCTCTCTTATAATTAGTTAATTCGCATAGGATGCTAGCATTTTTAAAAACATATCTTCACATTGTGTAAGAATGGGATGGAATTTATTTACAATTCCATAGATTCTACATAAATCTTAAGTCAAGGATGTAAATCATGTCAGGACAAATATAATACTTGTTTCATATATCACATAGTAATTTACAGTGAACTGCGGTATTGCCATATAAATAATTACACAAGAAAGCATCACCAGTGTTGCTTACGTGTATTTACAATAGTTGAGAATTGTTTTGAGGTTAATTTTTCTGTGGAGTAGGAGTAAGATACGAGATACTCTTTTAGTCTTGGCGTAAACTTTTAGTGATATGCACTAAAGTTGTCAATATGCATATACAATTTATTTATATAGGGATTGTCTTCTAGGTTATTGCACTGTTCCGCCATTTGGCTGTATTATCTAGTCAGAGGATCATACTGCATCCATCTTCAGGGCTGAAGTGAGGACGATTAAGAAATTGATGGTTTATGTAGGGTTAAGAGGAGGATCAGGCCAGGCCAGGGGGACAAATTGAGGCTATGAGATGAAGTGGGACTGTGGAGCCATTCCTGAGCCCCTTTCATGACACCAGAGAGCATAGCTGGATCTCATTGTTGTTGCTTCTCTTGAAGATGGACCACAGCTGCTGTCTTTGAAATATGCTTATTTTCTTTGTCCTGGCATACATAGTTGATGGTGCCATTAAGTATATTAGACCAAACAAATTAAACTTGGAAAGGTTTATTATACATACATGTAAATAACTCTCAAAATTAAAGCTAATGACCTGGTTCATTTTTACTTATGGCATGCAGCAGTCTCAATAAGTATGCTCTTAGATGGCTGTCTACTGGGTTGTAGTCTGTAGCCTGTAGTAGTTGTAGTGTGGTAAACGTCTACTAGACTGCATGGTGCTACAACCCAGAAGACAGCCATCTTTATACTCGCTGCTGTAAGAACCTGAAGTCCTACTGAGTATGCATTTCACTTTGCATCAATGAACATTGATTTTACAGATATTGTTCTCATGAGAACATGCTTAGAGACGTTCTAGGTGTTAGTGTGAAAGTGTATAATACATTTTGAGCACCTTTGACATCAGTTGACTTAATCTTTTATAATGATCCTTGTGCTGTTCTTGCACTGTTCTGTCTGCATCAGACTTAAGTTACAACTTTGAAATGATTAAATGTTTGGTGGTATAGTTTCAAACTAGTTTTTCTGTCTTTGTATTGCTTTCACATTCTCAGTTTTTCAGAACTCACTAATGTTGCTTAAATAATAAATTATTTCTTGCCATTTTTGTTAAGAAGGAAAAACCATGTAGCTGAGTATAACAATTCTAAATGATATCATCTAGCTTCATGTCATATCATGCACTATGTTTTTGTTTTGTGAATGTCTAAAGGAACTGCATATAAAGCACTAACTAGTATTCATGTCTTGCATTTGCAGTTAAAGGACAGAAGTCCCCCTGACTATGCTGCCCTTCCTGACTATGTGTACAGATAGTGCACCAGAGACATTGTTAGAATTATGCTTGAAGTATGTGGTTAATCATCTTGATACCATATGTTCAGTTGATCCCTTTACAAAGGATTATAAGTTGAGAGATGGTCTTGCTCTTCCTAGTGAAATATGTGAAAATATACTACAAGTCTACCAGCAGAGTGGCCATATCTTAGATGACAGATTTGTAAACATTTTTCAAAACCCACATACCACAAGACTTCAGAGAGTCCGTTTAAGAAACTCTAGCATTACAGATGATGGTCTGTGTGTGCTTTTAAAGCAGAAGTTAATAGAACTGGATATTGATAACTGTTCCAACATAACAGAAGGTTCATTGGTGCACATTAATGAAGGTGGCAGCAGTTTACGATCACTGATTGTTGGATCATCAGTTAATCTGCTTCCTGACACACTGTTTCTGGAGAACTCACAAATGCAGGAAAGAAACAGTGTTAGTGTTTACCAGAAACAAGGATACATCTTACATACTCCAAATTTACGACGTCTGGCTGTGAGAAATGTTATTGTAGATGGAGAGAAGATGTATTTCCCATTGCTCTTGCACCCACTGCACAGTTTGATGTACCTCGATTTGTCAGGATGTTCTGATCTAGGAGATCTTTCATACTTGTGTGAGCTAAAAAGCCTCATCTCTCTAATTCTGTATAATGTTCAGCGGCTTCAAGATGCAATTGGTTCTCTTTGTAAGCTAGTGAATCTGAGGTAAGTCTGCAGAATTACCTTGAGACCTGGTAACAGAATAATTTATTATTATTACATGTGTATTCAATGATAGGTGATTTTTTGTCATATGTTCTAGACATTTGAGAAGTCTGGGTATGTATATTTGGGAGACTGGTGAAATTATGTGATGACTGTGGTGTACTTGAGCCTCAACAACAGGAACAAAGGAAGAACAGCTGGCTGGTCACCATATTGTAAAGAATTGTGTTGTATCTTCAGCCTATATTTCCAGAGATGTTATCATTTCATGTATCGTATATATAATTTTATAGTAGAGTGAATGGTATAGCTCTTTGAGGTTTGTTTCATTAGTGGACCCTTGTTGCCAATAGGCATCTGGATATCTCACAGTCAAAGGAGAAACATGGAACTTTTAGGAACGAGAATCAGACATTAGCAATGCTTGTTGAGAGCCTGCCTCATCTCACATCGTTGGATATTTCTGGAACCAACTTAGCAGGAACAGGTATGTATCTCCACTTGAATTGCATGCAATAGAAAATTAGCTCAGTTGGTTGAGTGGTAAGGAAAGGTTTAAAAATGCCCATACTGAGATATTTGTTTGAAGTGTTTTAAAGAGAGAGAGGCAACAGGTTTATTGGTGGGATGTAGGTCCACAGTAATAAGGAGCCAGAATGGAATTCAGAAACAGATTGAAAATATATTATTTCCATTCTTTACATATAAGTGCCAGCTTCTGGTAACAGTAAACTGTGTTGAGTCCAGTACTGTCTATCACCATGATACATAAAATTCAGCAGTCTGTTAGTTCTTGATAAGAGTCAGTTACACATAATATAAATAGAATGTGTTTGGGCTACGGTGGTTGCAGTAACTCCATGGAGCAGAGTCCTTTTTTGTACAACTTAAAGGTTCATTAACATGTTCACAAGATCCTACCACAGATTCTCAAAATGGTCAAGGTGTTCGCATTAATACACTATAAAGTGAACCTCTGTAATGCACTTGTAAATCAGTTCTTTTTGATTTAAAATTAAATGATAATGCCAGTCATAATTTGTCATACTATTGTGCCAGCTGATGTAGTTTGAACAGAAACATGTCCAGTTTAACTGTCATCTGAAGTTGTTTGCACAATGAAATCATCATCATCATCCATTGCTGTTTCCAGCCTGGGGCCGGGTCCGCTTGGTAAAGCCCCTCCATCTCTTCCTGTCCCTCCACCACTTCTCCTGTTCCACCAACTGCCACTGGGCACCTCTCTCCGTCACCCCTCGTTTTATCTGCTCCTCCCACCTTCTTCGTGGTCTTGCCCTTGGTCTTGTGCCAGTCACTCTCATATCCAACATTTGTCGTGCTATCCGCCCTTCTCCAGTTCATGTGTCGATACCACTTCATTCTTGCTTCTTCTACTCTCTCTACCAGACCCCTCACATCCATTCGTTTCCTAACTTCCTCATTCCGTACACTTTCTCTCCTTGTTATTCCCAATGCACTCCTCAAAAACTTCATACCCATTGTTTCCACCTTCTGTATCTCCTTCCTTCCCAATGTCCAAGTTTCTGCTGCATATGTAATAACTGGTACAAGGTACACCTCATACAGCAACCTCTTGCACCTCATTGGGACTTCCCATTGCCATAGTAAATCTCTCACCACTCTGTAGAAACTCTCTCCCTGCTGTCCCCTCCTTACTAGCTCCATCCTATTGTGACCCTCTTTCTCGTTTACACTTCCCAAGTATTTGAAGCTCTCCACCGTTTTGAGTTTCTCTCCCCTTAACTCAATCATGTTCCATACTTTGTTCTGTATTCTTGACATACACACCACCTCACACTTCTTGATGTTGAACTTCATGCTACACCTCTCTACCTCCTCTTGCCATACTTCCAACTGTTCCTGCACTTTTCCTTCTCTCTCCTCCCACACCATCACATCATCTGCAAACACCATTGCTTTCATTCCATTCTCGCCGACTCTTTCTGCCACTCTGCCTATTATCTTTTCCATCACTACTACAAATAGTGGAATGAAACCTACAAATTGAATACAGTAGAGCTTTAAAAAACACCAGGCGTATTAGTGATGTGATAAATCTGGTGCTGAGATTTGTTTTGTCCCGATGTATGAACCTTATTTAACATCGTTTGTTTCATCACTGAGTTCTTTCATCTGTGCTTGCCTTTACAGGTGTTGCAGAGCACAATCCAGCCTCAAAAAATCAAGGCGTATCAGTGCCTCAGACAGATATTCCAGGCCTCAGTTCTAGAGTTCTCAATCCATTTGAGTTTTTGGGGCTGTATGGAACTTATCATGAAGCTTGCCATCGACATGATATACCAGCAAAAAAGGTTAGTTAAATAAAATACTGTGCTGTGGTGACACAAGGGAATACAGAAATGAAGTAAATAATGATTCTCTTCCAGGTCGCTGGTGATGCAAATGAAAACCAGATATTGGTGGCAGCTCTGGCTTATATCGAGCGACCAGATATTCTTCAGAAGGTTCTCAATGACCTGTATCATTTGTTAAGATATGAGACGTTTCAAAATACCAGTTATGCATTGCACATCATCTTGGAAGCAATGGATCAACATCTCACAGAGAAACACATCCAGATTTCGGGAAGGTAAGAAGTTTGCTGCGAATCAGATCTGAGTTTTGTATGAACTGACCTCGTGGAAGCTGCCTGAATGTTTTTCAATTTTCCAGTGCTACTTTATTCTACATAGTGAAGAGCAAGGAGAAACATGTGTTTGGAGTAAGAGAAAAACGAAGACTGATTTGCACATTAATAAATGGGATGAGTGCGCATAGAGGTGAAGACACAATGATGAGGAATGGCTGCCTTACACTGTTCCAATTCAAGATTCCTGATGATGTGGTACGTTATGACAGTGTTGTACACACATGTGCACATATTTTATCTTATATTACAGGATTTTTCTATGCAAGAAGCAAAATGAGAAAATATACATTTATTTCACTGAATTTCAGTAAGTGATATGTTCAACACTATGTTTTTCCATTATTGATTTGAACACCTTATGTCACTAAAGTTGCAAACTACTTATAAACATAACAGCTTAATGTCAGGTGTGACGGGGAAGATATGGAAGATTTAGATAACCAGATTATTTATTTTCTTTTCCTAGTAATGTAGGAAGTAAATAGAAACTCTTTTTCAGGAGATATGAAATCATTTTTAATATGAGTCATTACTGTTGGTGTATAGATAGGATAATGACTCAGTTGTTTACTGCCTTTTCTCATTGTAGTGGCAATAGTGCGGTGACTGCATAGCTCACACTGTCAGTCCATAAATACTAAAAATAATGAGAGCTGTGTTTCCTCTTCCTGAAAATATGAAAAATATAAATAAAATTCATAATGTTGTAATGGATGGATCATGGTAAAGAATATCATGTCATATGGAATGACTTTATTTCAATTGTGTCAGAAATTTTCCCACTCAGGAAGTTCCAAGAAGCACAGTATGGAAGAAAGTTTTGTGAAAGAAAACAATAAATATTGTTTCCTCTTTAAGTTAGTGCTTTTTTCCAGTAAGTTTTCATGTTTCACAGTTTGTTTTTGTTTTAAGTAATTCTACATGCTGTTTACTGTAAATTTTGGGATTAGAGAAGTTTTCCTATTAAAACAGGTCTTATTGTACTATGGTGACATTGAAAGGATTAATGTTGCTTACTTCTGAACAGTGTGACTCTAAGTCACATCCACAAATTAAATCAAAAGACACATATTCTTGTGACTAAATGGTTCCAGTTTCACAGTACCCTTGTTTCAGTTGAAAACCATGTCTACAGTTTAGTTATAATTTGGGTTAGCTTTGCATTCATGTTGGTATTTAGCTCCATCTTTTTTATATAAATGATTACTTAGTGAAAATATGAGAAAAGCAGGTAGCTGTCCATTAGTTGGTTTAGGAGTTTCTGTAGGCTGAGACTGTTCCTTCAGAGTGTCAACTGAAATGTGACTTATCATGTTTTATTATGCAGCTGTTCGACTACGAGCGACTTGTGCACATCCTGCTGCATATAGTGTCAGAGATGGAGCAAGGAGGATTTGTGCAGAGGATTGGAATTTACCTCCTCAACTCACTAGCCTGCCAGGTGGATGGACTCCAGAAACAGATGCTGGGTGATCTTGGAGCTATCAATGTAAATTGTATACACTGACAGTAATATTAAAATAAATATTCTACTAATTATAAAAGGAATTATTACTTTGGTGTGGCTTGACATGTTACTCTGGCAATCTGCATGGAAAGACAAACATTCAGAGTGTATCAATGAAGTTTGTGTGAATCATTCTTCAAATTATGTTTCTTTGCAAATTTGTAACAGAACTGAATTTTCTTTCAGCAAATGTTGACTCTTATTGAGAATCGACTAGAAAGGAAAGTTTTTGATGATGCATTGGAAGTTGCATGGTCAACAATGTGGAATGTGACAGACGAAACAGCAGTCAACTGCCAGAGATTTCTGGATGGCAGAGGCATGGAATTGTTTCTTGGGTGCTTAAGTGTAAGTTTCAGTCAGTACACCCTGGACATTTGCATCACATTGTGACTTCTGACTTCTTAACTTTCTGAAGTTTTTAGTTGTATTGGAATTTGCACTTCACCTTCATATTAGGTTGCTTCAGAACTCTGTTAAACTGCAGGATTAATCAGCATCATCAAGTTTGTAGTTTCAAGAGAATTGCCATTTGTTGAAATATTTCATATTCATCTTATCACCATCATCATTAGTCTTTGCTTGCTGCATACTGCAGTGGTGACTTTATGTCAGTGCTTTAGGATCTATTCCCCGAGCTCATTCCCAGTCAGAAGTGTCACATGGACACAGGTATTTTAAATTCAAGGTGTGTCCTGCAGCATTAAAAATTTGATGATAAACATCATCTCTTCTGTTATTTGTTGCATTCAGGCACTGATTTCCATGTAACCCCAGACATGGGAATCTATGGGGGAGTGGGGTCTGGTGACTGCAGTGGCCAGTTCTGTGGATAGCCATGACCAATCCATTGGTCAGGGATCTGCTTATTTATGTATTCCGTAACATGTTGACCGAAATATAGGGTGCCCTGTTCATCCTGGAAATATGTCTGTAATCATGTTATATGCCATTCAGATCATCATTAATTTCTATCCACAGCGCTGTCACTGTTGAGAATTTCACTCTTTCTTAACAGAATCCCTATACACAATAATTCTGTGTGTGCAGGCATGAGTGCACACATGATGATGATGATGTACTTATATTTTAGCTTGTCCCTGTATAAAGTAGCAAAATTGTTCGCACACCCACTGTAGCCCAGTTCACTGTGTTTTATTGTTGTGTGCAGACATTTCCTCACAAGGAAGAACTGCTTCGTAATATGATGGGACTGCTGGGAAATGTGGCTGAAGTTCGACTGTTGAGGCAGCGTCTGATGACGAGCCAGTTTGTGTCAGTATTTGCTGACCTTTTGGATACCGGCAGTGAAGGAATTGAGGTAATACAGTGTTGAGGAGCAGAATTTGGTTGAGTATCTGTGAACACACAAGCTTCAGTTTCATCTGAAATAGGTGGAACAAATAACATGTCCTACTGTTCTACTTCTGTAGGATTAGTTGTTTATACAGATTTAATTTTTTTTTTTCTTGCTTAATATTTGACTCTTGGAGATATTTTAAATTTTCTCTGTACATAATTCTTAAAAATGAATGCATGATTGATGTCAGAGACTAGTAAATCAGTCAGTCCTAATGTTTATTAATAAACTTCGAGACTGTAATCATAAAACTTGTGTGGACAGACAACCAAACAACTACTAATCAAGTTTCAGTAAAGATGTGGATTGTGGTGTTCTGCACTGTGATGCCATGTAGTGTTGGTGGTTAAGAGAATATGAAAAGAATGTGTAACCTCTGTCTTTGGGTTCTTTGAAGATGAACATGTTTTCCTTTGTCATTATCATATCTACATGTGAATCACTTAAAAAAGAATACATATTGCTCTACCCACTTCACTATTTTTAAACTTATGCCATATTATCAGTGTAGGTAGAAAGTAAAACAGATGGAACCATTTGTGAAGGGAAATAATTTTCAAAATATGTATACAGTAGATTCTGGTTAATTGGGCCATCTGTTAATCGAGGCAGCCATTTGTTTGGGACAAATCTTAAAGAACAATAACAAATTGAGGAAATAACCGGAATTTGCTTCGTTTATTTGGGACACCATGCCGTTTAATCGTGACAGTGAGTGCTAGATGGCACGCTTGTGGTGTGGAGGAGTGAGTGAGACTGAGTGAGTAATCGCTGATTCACTCAGTAACGAACCCATGTGTATTCAGACAGTGTAGTGATTCTGCTTGCAGTGACAGCTAGATGGCATGCTTGTGATCACTATAGGTATGTGGCATGTGGGCTGACTCACTCAGTAGCGAACGATGCTTTAAGTATCTTAGAATGGACAGTTTACCAGTTCTGTACCATGCTAACAAAAATGCACACAGGACTTCTGAAATTTTTAAGAAATGGCTACGGAGTTGGAACGTGGAACTACAACGGAAGTCAAGAAAAGTTCTGCTGCTTCTTGACAACTTTATGGCACACCCTCATACAGTTGTTTGAGAAACATCCATTTGGAATTTCTGCCTCCCAACAGCAAGTCCTTGTTGCAGCCAATGGACATGGGAATCATAAAAAATTTGAAGACGATGTATTCCTGAGAGTTGGTAAACTACATCCTTGAAGCAATTAAAGAAATTCTACTGACTTCATCTTCAACAGCCAAGGAAGTCAGTGCAAGGGTTAACTTTTTACAAAGCAGTACAATTTGTCGTTGATAGTTGGCAAGCAATAAGCAGCAAGACCATTCAGAACTGCTTTGCTTACTGTGGTTTTAAGCATTCAGGCTTGGATATGCCAGTTATGACCGATAGTGAAAATGACGCCATTTTGAGAGTGCAACATGTCAGAATTTGCATGCACCAACAATAGTCTTCAATGTTACAGTGAAAATTAAGATTATGAGGATGCAATTGTTGAACAGATTGCAGCAAAACACCAAAAGACATCAGAAGACCAGGAAAGTTATGAGGACAACACACCTGAGCTTGAGCCTTGCAAAGAAATGTTGCTGGGTTACGACGCTACTTCATGCAGGAAGGCAATGAAGGCAGTCCTATATCTGCACTACATACATGCCTGTTTGATACATACATTAATTTGAAATTGTTTTTAGCAAAAATATTTTTCTCTGATTTGTACCATTTGTTCCCGAATTCATTTGCAGTATTTTTGTTCCTCAATGAATCATCTCAATAAATGGGAGTTTGTCTTTTGTTTTAAACCATTTTAACACTTTACGTGGAACTTCGCATAATTGGGGCAGCCACTTAATTGGGCCAAAGTGTTCTAGTCCTGATGTGTCCCAATTAACCAGAATCCACTGTATAAAATATTGTGTAAAGGTAACATTCAAACATTGGAAGTAAATTAGAATGGTTAAGGCATGAGGATAATGTGTAAAGTATCAAAAGATGTGGCCTAGGGACACAGTTAAGTGTCAAATAAGTAAGCTGTGTGTGCCGAAACAACAGTTGTTCAATCGGCCGGGGAGGTGGGTGGGGGCATGTAGTACACATTGGGGAGATGAGAAGTGCATACAAAATTTAGTAATAAATTCTCAAGGGAAGAAACCACTTGTGAGACTTGGAAATAAATGTGATGATAATATTAAAATTGATTTTAAATAAATTGTGTTATAATATTAAAATTGATTTTAAAGAAATTGTGTATGAGGATGTGGACTGGATTTAACCAATTCAGGATAGGGTCTATTGATAATATTGAGCTTACAGATTGTATAGGTTGGGGGAATATTTTGACCACTTTAGACTTTTCAAGAAGGGTGCTACAGTGGGGAGTTGGCTGTTTCGTTAATTATTCATTCCTCTGTTCATGACACTGTTTGAGAAATGTTTCAAGTGTTCCTTTGAAGTTTTACTCAAAAGAGAAAGCCAGAAGAGGGGTCTGTGCTCCTGTTCTTGTAACACAGTGTGAACATACAGTAAGAATTGTGATTTTGTTATACTAGATTAGTTACAATGCAGCTGGAGTTCTGTCCCACATGGCATCTGATGGACCTGCAGTTTGGACGCTGAAATCTCCAAGACGTGAAGATGTATTGCACAGAATGGTGGCTGCTATAGATCGTTGGGACCTTGAAACAGAAAGAAATATTAATTACAGGTAACTCAGTAAGGATATTCTGTCAGTTGACTGCAAAACAATATTCAGTTTGTAATTCTGTACTTTGTTTCTGCAGGTCATTTGAACCAATTTTGAACCTGTCAAAGGTTTATCACACACCTGAATGTCAGCATTGGGCTGTTTGGGCACTAGCAAATCTTACTAAAGTTTACCGTAAGTACTGAAATCATAATATATTACTCTACATTGGTACAAGTAAACTTAACTGTTTAAATATTACTTTGTTTATGGTGTTGTATGGTGTGAATGCAGACAAATGTATCAGATCATACGCATGGGGACATTAAGGAATATTTGCCAAAAATACAGCTCATATCTGTGTAGTGCCTTCACCCGAAAACCTTGTCAGTTTGTTGTTGTTTCTTGGCTCTACAACCCAGTTGTGGGTTTTCACCACCGCCTATTCGGAGGTGTCTCAGTCTTTGAAGTGTGCATTTGTGAGTAATGAGTGAACAGCTCATTGACTGCACAATTTCTACATAATCCTCATTTGACTGCCAGAGCCATCTAGCAGTGAATCAGGAGACTTGGGTGAGAAATGGCCGATGAATTTTGCTTACGAAACATCTTGTTCATGCTCGTAAGGTTCTTTTACATGCCGTAAATCTACGACATGGGACCGCCAGCTTTACTTCCACTCTGAAGGAAGTTGTGCTACGGATTTTTATCACCCTTAAAAATCTAACTTGCAAACCTTGGGTCCAGTGGTGAGCACATTAACCACTAATCCACTGAGGGCAACAAAAATCTTGTCAGTGGTAGTGTCAAAGTTTCATGCTGTGGTTGTGTATATAATTAATGTAAAAGAATGAGTCGTGCAGGATTTGTAGATATGATTATGATCTTTATCCATACAAAATTTTATGTGCTTAGTTCCGTTAGTTAATTGTACAAATTTTGTTCAGTTACAGTGTTTTTAATATACTTTCTAGAAAAAAGCATGGGCTCAGTAAAAGTTGGATACTGTGTTTTTGAGAGATTACCACACAAAATTCCAGGACTCTACTACATTAAGTAGTGTTAATATGACTCCCACTTCAGAAGTCCGTTGTGCCCCATGTTTGTTGGAAGTTAAAAGTGTACAGAGATTGTATGGCCTTCAGTGGCTTGATGTTCATGACAAGTTTCATAAACATGCATCACTTTTTTCTGAAGCTATTAGTAATAGGGAGCACACCTATGCATGACGGTATCATAAGTGTAGGTTTCTTTATCAGATAAGAAATGAAGTAACAGTTTTGAAGTATAATGTGACAAATTTAAAATAGTTGTAACTGTACTTGTATGTTCCAGCAAAGAGATACTGCTCCCTGGTAGAGTCAGAAGGAGGGATACACATTCTAGAGGAAATTATATGTAATGAAAAACCATATGCTCGTATCAAAGAGCTTGCTGCCATGGTCATAATGAACTGCAAGGAGTTCAAGGAGTCAGATGCACCTCTCAGTGGCTGAGCTTTTTAATAACAGCAAGTTTTCTAGAATAGTGATTCTCAAACTATGTGGAATACACAGCATACATTTATGCATTTTAAATGATAGGACTCGGATATTCAGAGTTCAGGAATGCGTGATAAGAAGGTGTTTGGCTATCAGATTGTGTGCTTGGGAATCACTTTCTAGAGAAAATGTGCATGACTTGTTTTTGTATAAATTGTACATTTAAGTTGTAGCTCTTTCTTGTTTTGATTCATACCATAACTTCAGTTTCTTGTGTTGCTATATAAATCATATGTGAAGGACAAAGGTTTTGCATTCTTATTAACTGTCTTATTTATAAAATGTGAAGAGTATATTGTTCTTTGTTGGCAATCTACATTAAAAAATGCCATCATAGAACTTTATCGTATTAAGGCCGTGTTGTACCTGTCTTGTCAGTAAATTTGTAACTTTTGGTGATAATGCAACTAAACTTCATAATTTGTTTAATACCCAAATTTTCTAATGTGGATAGGAATTACAAAATGCTTATATTTTTCTTGATGAAATGTGAAGTGATATTTCTATATTAAAAATGTGTGAAACGTAGTTAAACACCTTTAGGATCAACCAGAATTCTGTTAATGTAAATTAAATACAATATTTGTGTATACTAGTGATTTTGAGAATTAGTATTTATATAATATAATGTAACACAGAACTGCTTTTGAACTTATCTATGAAGTATATAGCAGTGTTTTTAAAAAGGTTACTACCTTTAATGTTGGTAAATTAAAAAATATTGCAGTAAAATGTTGATTAAGTGTGCATATGGTGACATATTATCATAAATTGCAGCAGGTTTTGAAAATGTGTTCATTGTAGTTTCTTTTAAATGTTCACTTCTGGCATACAGTTTGCATGACTTTGTTTTTACTTATTGTGGTATGAAAATGATCTTTCAGTTTAAATGAGTCATGGTCTTATATTTTAGCCTTCCTTTACAAAATTTATTTGTACCTCTTTTCCCATGCCAGGATGCAGCCCCTAAGATTAATTCATCTTAGAATTGTTTTTGATATATATAACTATATTTTAAGTAATGAAAATATTATGCGCACTAATACATGTTTAATTTCACATTTTATCTTGATTCTGAGAATAATTAACTCTTGTAATACAGAAATAAGGGACTTAAATCCGCATACTATAATGTTGCATGATGGACATTTTTTGCGATGCATGGCTGACTAGACTGTGTGTATGCTGTGCTACATGCAGTGGCGGCCCATCCATAAGAGCTGCAGCACCCCCTATAATTTTTCAAATTTTTTTTTTTTTTGTATTTATATAATTTTTAACATTTTATTTCCTCTATATCATTATTTTAATATTGCCCCTTACGTTGTCATTATCCACTAATTGACTGAACTGAGGTGGGCGAGGAGTGCGAAGCAGAACGAGGCTATCCGGCTGCAAGGATTTCAGTGCGGCTAGCCAGTCAAAAGTAGAGTGCGTGGCTACAGCGCGTACCGGGGCTGCAAGGTTCGCAGGAAATATATCATATTTACAGCAAATTACTTTCTCTAGATTTTCTTTGACTGAAAAAAGTGATGCAAAAAAATATGGCCGTGAAAACCTCAAATCTTATACAGTTAAAACATCGTCGAGCACATATGTTTGTCTTTGAATGAAAAAAGTGATGTAAAAAATCATGGCTGCCCTTTTCCAGACTTACAAATCCTCATACTTACCGCTGTGAAAACCTCAAATCTTATACAGTTAAAACATCGTCGAGCACATATGTGTTTTCCCCTGATGTAAATTTACTTTTCCTTTATTTATATTGTTATGTGTTGAAAAACTATTCAGAGTTTTCCCCCTTGCGCAGCACTACCATTGTTCAGATTCACGAGCCGCCATTGGCTACATGGTCAGTAAAGTTAATACTTTAGGTATGCTATTTGTTATACCCCTGAAAATTATGGTGTCACTCAGACATGTTGTGTTAATGCATAGAATGTTTAAATTACCTGAATATAATTGTAAATATGAAAATATAGGCATATGACAATGGCTAATATATAAGATTGTGACATATTAATACACATAAAAACAAGAGTGAAGTCAGTCATATGTAAAAATTCATATCTGACCTGCAGATTTTGTATTCATTGTTCAACACTGCAGCATGCCTTGTATTTACAGTTTATGTATTATCTAATTTACTTATTTTGATTTCCAGAGAAATGTAATAAATCTCTCAATAGAAACCCCAAATGTTTTTAAATTAACTCCCCTTCATGGAGACCTGTGCTTCCATGAAATTGACAGTTTTTAAGGCTTTATGAAAGGACTAGTTGTAGGCAAGACTTCATTGAGTAACAGTTTACAGTTAATTCCATCCTTTTCCATTGACTTCCTTACTATAAATTGTACAAATGTGTTATTTAAACCATAGGTGTACAGAGATAGCAGTCAGCTAGTGGATTGTCACTGATCTTCAGTTGAAGGTGAAGTGTGTCCTCTAGTAACACAAATACTCTTCATTTCTAGCTATATTGAGGAGAACACACATTTTGCATACTCAGCTGTTGTCTTTATTCATGCTGGTCAAACGAGATGTGCTGCCTTGAGGCATGTAGTGAATTAGTAAATGTTTTTGTGATGTCACATACACAGCCACTTTATTGTCTGCGCAATCAAGGACATTCTGCGAAGAAATGGACCCTGTTGTTCTTCTTTATTATGCCATCTCCTTTACAGGAGGTTGGCAACATATTATGCACAGGATCCTTCCATCCTTTTCTCGGACTGGGACCTGTTCATATATGATTTTAGCCAGGTGATACAGAAGTGGTTTGCCATTGCCTTCTTCTGTGTGTATGGAGTATTTGTTGGGTTGCCACGGAGAAACCGGGGAAGCCCAGGAGGAAAACTCCGTGTTGCCTAGATCACGGCCGGGCACCGCCGGGAGGCCCTCAGCTGAAGTGATCTCCCCCCAAGCCGCAGAGGCCTTCAGCCGAAACGGCCCCTCCCTCTCTGGGTTCAAAACTAAGAAAACCATCCAAATTCTTTGGACAAGTTGTCTGACGGAACAACCTATCAGCAGCAACAGATCCTAGTTTGAATGGTCGAGGCTCCCGCCAGCCAGCTAGTCGGCGCCTTGAACGCGTTTGGTAATTGTACATTTATTGTGTTAAATTAGAAATAGTGGTACGCCAGCGAAAAAGGTTGATAACCCCTGATCTACACTATTTTAATATGTTTTTTGTAGTTAAGAAGTAAATGTAAATTCTCGTTATTCATCTGGGCAAAAATTGAGCCCATAAGTTCATCACTATGTTTACAAAAGCCCTCCCATAGAATTTAGTTCCTATTTATTAATTTCTTTTTGCATAACCTATATGTATATTAATGCATGCTATGCGTTAATAACAAATTTCATTGAGTTTGTCTTATCAGAATTGAATGCAAGTTTATTGGCGTCAAATGAATGCATAAATGCAATTCAGAAAGTAGCCACATTCAGTTCAGGGCGCGAAACTGGAAGAAAGTCTCCCGAAGAATTGTTACAGATGGGTTATCATTTGTAATAAAAGTTGTATGAGCAGCTGCTGTGAAGTGATATAATTTTATGGCCATTTCGTTGTAACTTGTTAGCAACATGATGGGCGATTGGAACAAATAACGAATATTTGTTAGGTTAGGTCTGTTGATCTTAACGTGGTTACAAACTGTAGCCTTTCAGAATAGAAAAGCATGCTTAATACAGAGTGCATATTTGCTATAGCAGTTACAGGTATGTTGTAAGAAATTATACGTATCAGAGTAATTGTCAAAGAAGTATTCTCTTCATAAAGACCGTATTTACAATACTTTAGAATTTTCTAGGGTGAAAATTTGAGCTGTTTTGTTATTCCACATCGAATTAAAGCACAAAAAGAATTAGTGCTTCCAAATGTAATTAAATGTTTCGTTGGTAGATTTAGAATTTCATATTGCCAGGTTACATCTTAGTTTTTAGAAAATTCTTGATTTAGAAAAGACATATCTGATGTTGCTGATAATGACAGGCTTGAATAGTGAGCATTTTATTAATTGTGTGGGAATGTGTGTGTCAGAATTCAAGAGCCAGTTTTATCCTTTTGCTGAAGATAGATTTGAGGTAAATTAAAAAGTTAAGAAAATTTTCCGCAACTGCATGCTTAATTGTGACAACTACGTAGATTGTGTTAAGCATGATTGTTATTTAAACATGGCATGTAACAGTTCCTACACAGAGCTGGAATAGCCCAGAATAGTGACTAGGCTATACAGAATGAACAACAGGCTCAGTTCCTAGCAGGGCAGGATTTTACTCTTTGGCATAAAGTCCAAACCAGCCTTGGGACTCACCGGCCTTCTGACAAATTGAAAACAGCTCAATCTAATGTCACCACATTTTAAGATAAGAATAGAATCATCGCCCTGATGATGGAGGCAGCAAGGACTTATGAAACGAAACTTCTGCCAGATTATACGGTGGTAAAACCAGAAGGCAGCCATATTCAGAATTCATTTACATTCCATAGATCCTTTGTAGGCCTAAGCCTAGGATGTAGAATGTTATAATACAAATACAATACAACAAATAAGATAGATAGTTTTAACAACTATTTACAAACATGTCTGTTATAATACAGTATTACAGTAAAGTAATTACATCAAGGAATCATCACCATTGTTATATGGATTTATAATAACTGAGAATTATTTTTAAAGTAAATGTTCTACTGTGTAAAAGGAGAGAGATAAGTGCTGGCTTAAATACTTTTGTCATGATTTTAAACTTTGTATGTTAGGAGGAAGATTATTGAATAATTTATTTCCAGTGTAGTAAACTCCTTTTTGATATTTGCTGAGGAGACTCATAGGAGTCCTCAACCCAATATTATGGGACAAAAATATCACAAAAAGAACGAAAGAGAGAATATATAAAACGATGATACAAAGCGTGGCTCTATATGGAGCGGAAATTTGGCAACTTTCAGAACAAAAAAAAAAGTTGAGAATAATGGAAATGGATTTCCTAAGAAGAGTGGCTGGAATATCCAGAAGAGAGAGAGTGAGAAACGAAAGGATTAGAGAAATCATGAGGGTGGACCGAGATGTAATTGAGGAGATAGAGAGAAGACAAGGATACGTGCAAAGGATGGAGGAGGAAAGGTTACCAAAAAAACTATGGAATGGCAACCAAAAGAGAGAAGGAAGAGAGGAAGACCGAGACCAGGATGGAACAACAGAATTACAAGAACCATGATAGAATGGAAACTACCTCCGGAAGGATGGGAAAATAGAGAAGAATGGAAGAAAATATTAGGCACCGGAAGACCGAAGTAACGGTCAAGAAACGGAAGAAGAAGAGAAGGAATTAGAGAATTATAAGTTAGATTTAGTGGCAGTGCATGAGGTGTGATGGGAAGGGAAGAGCATGATTCCAGTGGAAAATTTCAGGTTTTTCTATGGAAAGGAAAATGATTCCAGTGTAGTAGGGATGTTTTTTTTTTGTTTTTTTTTCTTTCCCCATAGCAGAATTAGGGCAGCAGTTAAGAGAGTAGAATTTGTTAGTGACCGGTTGTCTTACTTAATTCTGGAAGGACATTGGGGCAACATTGTTGTCCTTAATGTTCATGCCCCAACTGAGGACAAAGGTCATAATATTAGGGATAGGTTTTATGAAGAAGTAGAATAAGTATTTGATACATTTAGCAAGTATCGCATGAAAATTTTGTTGGGAGATTTCAATCCAAAAATTGGGAGAGACGATATTTTCAAACCCACAATAAGTAATGATACTCTGTGTGCACTTAGTAATGACAATGGTGTGAGAGCTATGTCAAAAGATCTAATTATGAAAAATACACTTTGACTTCTCCAGATGGTGGCACACACAATCAGATAGATCATGGTTCAGTAGATAATAAAAACCAGACAAGTATAATTGATGTGAGGTCATTCAGAGGAGCAGATTGTGACACTGACCATTAACTGGTACTGGCAAAATTGAGGGAGAGACTTTCAGCAAGTAGATGAACTAGGCAAAATTTCGGCACAGAAAGATCTGATTTGAAAAAATTAAATGAGGGAGAGGTAAAGGAGCATTATAAAGTTGAAATTTTGAATAGGTTTCAAATTTTAAAGACAGATAAAGATGAAAGTGTGGATACCAGGATAGCAGGAAAATGTCAGAAACTGTATCAAAATTTAAGCCAAAGAGAAACTAGGATACTACAGGAGAACACAAAATAAGCCATGATTTGATGAAGAATGTTCAAAATTAATAGATTGAAGGAAGAAAACAAAATTTCAGTGGTTGCAGATCCTAAATAAAAATGAATATAGATAATTATGTAATGAGATGTGAAGCCTCTAGAACCTTTAGGAATGAGAAAAGGGAACATCTGGAAGGCAGAGATCTGTACAGAGGCATCATTGATTACAAGAAAGGATATTACCCTCTGACTAATTTGGTAAAGGATGAAAATGGCAACTTACTGGCAGATCCAATCAAAATTTTGAATAGATGGAAAAATGTCTTTAACCAACTCTTATATGTTCATGGGACTGATGATGTTAGACAGATTAAAATACATACATAGTTTAGATGAAGTTGAACTAGCCATTGGAAAGTTGAAAAGTTATAAATCTCCGCGTATTGATCAAATTCCAGCAGAATTAATTACAGCAGGTGGCAAAGGATTACATATGAGGATCCATAAGCTTATTCAGTTAATTTGGGATAAGGAAGAGATGCCACAACAATGGAAGGAATCCATAATTATTCCTATTCATAAGAAGGGGGACAAGACTGAATGTGGTAATTACTGAGGAATTTCTCTACTATCAACCTCACACAAAATTCTATCAAACATTCTTCTGGCAAGATTAACTCCACATGTGAATTAAATTATTGGCTATCATCAGTGTGGGTTCAGACGAAACTGATCAGATCTTTTGCATTCATCAGATACTAGAGAAAAAATGGGAGTTCAGTGGGACTGTACATCAGTTATTTATAAATTTCAAAAAAGCCCACAGCTCTGTTCAGAGAGAAGTGCTACATAATATTCTCATTGAATTTTGTATGCCAAAGAAGCTAGTGGGTCTAATAAAAATGTTCTTAAATGAAACCTGTAGTAAAATTCGTATAGGTAAATATTTATCTGAATAATTTTCTATCAAGAACGTTCTGAAACAAGGAGATACTTTGTCTCCATTGCTCTTTAACTTTGCTTCAGGAATTTCCAAGGTAGGCAGAAGGGTTTGTAGTTGAATGGGACACATCAGCTATTGGCACATGCTGATGATGTTAATTTATAGGGTTAGGATATAAATACAATAAAGAGGAACACAGAAGTTTTACTAGAAGTCAGTAGAAAGGTGGGCTTAGAAATAGATTCTGAAAAAACTAAGTACATGTCAGCAGACAGGCAGACAAAATCATATTGCAGTGGCTAATAAATCCTTTGAAAGTGTTACAAAGTTAAAATATTTGAGAACAACAGTAACAAATAAAAATGATACTCATGAGGAAGTGAGGAGGAGACTAAATTCCGGAAATGCTTGCTACTTCTCTGTTCAAAATATTTTGTCTTCCTGTCTGATTTCTAAGAACCTGAAAATTAAAGTATACAAAACTGTAATTTTGCCTGTTTTGTTTGGGCGCGAAACATGGACCCTTACTCTGAGGGAGGAACACAGATTGCAGGTGTTTGAGAATAGGGTGTTGAGGAGGATATTTGGGCCTAGGAGGGAAGACGATGGGGTCTGGAGAAAACTACATAATGAGAAACTTAAAAATTTGTACTCCTCCCCCAGTATTGTCTAGAAGAATGAGATGAGTGGGGCATGTAGCGCATATGGATGGGACAAGAGGTGTGCACCAGGTGCTGGTTGGGAAGCTTGAGGGGAAGAGACTGCTGGGGGGACCTAGACGTAGATGGGAGGATAATGTCAGGCGGGATCTATTGGAGATAGGAGTTGAAGGAGACTGGATTTTGTTGGCCCAGGATGAACCTTCAGGTTTGGTAAGCCATCTATAGTTAGTTAGCAGACTCCAGTATCTGTTTGTTTTAATGCATACATTTGGCATATTTAATGACCTGAATTAATGTTTTGCAGTGTTTCCTGTAGTGAATTTTCATGTTATATTGCTACTAGATCACATATTTAGGAAAAGATTTTTTTATGCTTACAAGATGTTTTGATGCCTTTGGTTATCCATCCACTATTATCAAACACCCTTCTTTCAGTTTTGGTGGGAAGACTTGTCTCATAAGTTCTTAAGAAGATGTTTAGGAATGTGTTAAATTTTGAAGCTACATCACGGTTGCTTAATATTGATTCCCAATTGTTATTACTTAGATGTGTTGTAAATTGTTTAATAGTGTTACTTTTATAAGTTTAGTTTGTTTTTTATAATTATGACTGCTGGAAGTTTATTTTATATTTTTTATGACTAGAAGTTGAGCATCATGATCAGATAGCCCATTTATCACTGGCTCAATAGAAATATGTTTTTTTCACCACAGATGACAAATTCTACTTTAGGTTTGTAGCTATAATTTATGATGCTTTCTAAGTTGTTTAAGAATAGTTCAAAATTACATGTGGGTGCTGTGTAGGACGTATGTTGGAGAAATTATATCCTAGTTGCACAGCACAACATTCTACGTCCTCTTCATTGCAGTGATGATTGAAATTTAAGTACTTTTTGATAAAGATACTCCTCCTCTTGCCAATTTTTGTAACTTTCTGATAGTGCACTACAAAATTGTTATTTTGATTGTATTATAAATTTATGATTCGCTTATTTACAATGATTTCAATATATTTTAAGTATTTATTTATAGATCTGGGCTTTAACCTAAAAATGACATACTTCTTGCACAAAAGATTACAGGAAACTTACCAGAATACAGTTCCCATCTTATCATATTAGCAATGAGTTGCACTAGCTTCTCCTTACCCCTTGAATTAAGTTGCGGTCCATGTCTGGTGTGGTCATGTCTATCTCAAGATGATAAATCAGTTAATCCTCTAAGGGATCTGTCTGAATTTCAGAGCACACACTCAAGCCTCAGATTTGCCCTCCTTACCCACTTGCTCATAACAGGCCTGTCATGATGCTCAAGAATACTAACAAAACTGACATTAGTATGCGTGCTGTTCTTGGCAGTGTTGACCGAATGTTTTTGAGTTTTGTAATTAAAGTCCCTATGAAGGCTGTTTTTTTATCCTCCCACAATGATCACTTGATCATCCTTAGTAAAGTCTTTACTTTGAGCTTCAAGTTCCCCAACAACATTGTCAAGTGTAGGATTGGGTTTGAAAACATTTTGTAATCATATATTTATCCTCTAGGACTGAGTGAAGAGGTTCACTTAATCCTCTACTATGACTACTACATAAACTATGACTACTTATATTTTTTCTTGTTTATTGTAGGTTTTGGTTCCTTCTTTAACTGGGCAATTTCTGAAGGTTCTTATACAGTCAGTGCCTCAGATTTGTTGCTCATTTTCACATGAAATTTTAATCATCAATGGAGCAAAGACTTCTGTTTCTGCATTGTGATTTGGCTTTAACTTCAGTCCAGCAAGTGGACAAGCAGTTACATTTACTATAACTGTTTTCAGCTTTCAAACAAGCAATTCGATTAAGTGCCAAAGCCAACTCCCTCTGCAGGTTCAGAATAATTCCCTCTTGTTCCTTAACTCTTCTACCTTGTTTACATGTTAAACAGAACCATGGCTTTGTTAAATCTAAATCTCTGATAGTGGTACTGGAACATTCTCCATGAAACCACCAATTATATTCATCACTCAGTGATGTCTTCTTTTGATTTGACTATTTTAATGTGTTGACAGATGCATATAACCAGCGGGTTATAGCTACTTTATCAGCACTGAAGTAGTGATAACAAGGTTCCTCTGGGCTGTTCTGCATATTCCGTTTAAAGGGATGGATGGAAGTATTGTGCGAATAACCTTGCAAGATTTCATGTAAGTGCATGAATATATGTTCGTCTCTTATTACTTATTTGAATGCATCTGTTTCTTTCCTGATATGGACTTGTGTGTAGCTGTTTTTCTCCTGACTAAATTATGAATATCATTATGTAATTCTTGTCCATAGGTTTTGAAAGCTGGAGTTCATTGTAAAACTTTGGCTTTTGGGGATGAGCCATATCGAATGTTGTATGTTATTCAATGTTTTGGCAACTGTAATATTTGCTGAAACATTGAACAACTTTCAACATTCAACATGCTTATCCCCAAAAGCTGAAATTTTACATTAAGTAATTAACAGCTTTTTGTGAACTTCAAATATCATGTCACTGATTTTCTCCTCATGTTGGTAGTTCTTAACTTTTTGTTTTAAAAATTAGAAACATGATGGCCATGCAGGGTTTGTCAGGAGGGCTTCTGTGGGAATACTAGTGGCATTCAGTTAATGATGTTAAAGTTTGAATTGTGTGTACATCAACATAACCTCTTTATGCGTTATATTCAGGCAACTTGTTTTGCCTCCTTGAAGCAATGAAACATGTTACAGTGCTAATGTAATGAATTCCTTTTTAGTATACTTTCCTTATTTTGTAAATATAAGTTTATGGTATCAAGCATGTGTCTACCCCCCCCCCCCCCCCCCCCAACCCTTAAGTTTGAACCAACTGATGGATTCATACCATTAGAGGACACCTCCACCTATGTGTATATTAATTTCTTGCTATTATTGATGATACAAGCATGGCAGTTGCATGACACTAGGCTAATTTAATTTAGAGTCATGAAATTTTGTGTACTGACAGCCTTCCAAAAAAGTTAACATTATGTAGAATATGAAATAAGCACATGACAGCCTTGTCAAATTTACATTTGGTTTCCAGGTTAATGATGAAAATAATGAATCATTCAAGCTAGATATGATAAAAAAAATTATCATAAACGTGCTATAAATTATGTTTGAAACATTTTTATGTGTTAATCTTTATGAACATGGTGATGATGTGAAACCCTTAAGATTATGTCTGGCAAGTAGTTAGAAACTTTAGTATTGGAAATAATGCACACAAAATGGGCCAGTAAATTGTATAATTATTAATTTATAGTTCTTGCTAGCCTCAGCATACAGATTGAAGAATGTGAAAGAAAGTATTTGTCTTGAATTCATCCCAGAATATGTTGCATTTTGCTAATTGACTTATGTGTTTTCCTAACAGGACATACAAAAAGGTGGTGTTTGATGCTGGACCAAACATTAATCTTATTATAGGTCCAAATGGAGCAGGGAAGTCTACCATTGTTTGTGCAATGCTTTTGGGCCTTGGAGGAAAACCAAAGCTGTTGGGACGTACTGTAGCTGTATGTATATGTTTTAAAGTTTACTGCAATTTGGGAATCTGAAACAAGTGGTCAGAATTGTAGCGTATGGTAGTAGAAAATTCATGTAAAAAGTAAAGCTGTCCCACTACATGCCATGTAGACACTTGGGGGGAGATGATATAGCTCCTACTCATTCTTAACCTTGGCACTAGATAGGGGTGAGTGGTCAGTGTCACGCCTTTGCCACGCTTTACCCTGGGGGAATGGACCCCAGTACACATATGACAGGAGACTGGGTGGACCCCAGAGCTGGTCTGAATGCAGAGGCTAGACAGAGAAATCCTCTGCTTCTGTCAGGGATTGAACATCAGTCGTCCAGTCTATAGGTAGTCACTATACTGACATCTTCCCCAACTCATAGAAAGTTCATGCAGCAGTAACATTTCAGTATAGTAATTCAGCTGGGGAGTATAGCCACTTATTCTTATATGATACACTTTGAATGAGCAATTTTTTTGTAAGATTTTTTGCCATCTGGTAGTCATGAGGAAATGAGATTTTGTTACATTTCTTTAAGATTAATATTGAAATATACTAAAGGCAGACGTTTTTTAGCAATGAAAATTTAGGTTGTGGCATTCTGGTTTAGGACACAAAGTAGGTTTGTAGGTGATATGGTATGATAACCCAAAATACTGTAACGTAAGGCAGAGTACATTTGTTTGTAACTGAACATATGTGTGTATAGCAGTAATGCTCCAAACTTGTATTCTGGAGGTGCCCAGTTGTAAATATTGGTTAATCTGATTGGGTCTTTTGTGGTTTTTCGTAGTGTCTGTGGGTAAATGTTGGTACGGCATTTCCAAGGGGGCCATGGCTAACCACTCACCATCCCTGACAACTGTAATCCATCTCTGTGGCTGAAACAGCATTATTAAATAACAAACAATCGGTCAATCAATACATTATGTTTGTTGTATTATGTGTACAGTTTGATGCATGTCTGACCCTTTTTACAAGCAGCCTTTTCATATTTTAAAATTTCTGCACTAGGGTGAGACTAGGGTCCCAAGTGGTCATTATTATCAAGCAGAGTTCCTGTGGGGTTATGTTCCTACAACAATCTGACATCTTTCTGTCATTGCATAATATTTCATCTGTGCTTGAAAAGTTGACATTCCAGTCAGCATTGGTGCAAGCACCAATAAAATTCAAAATGTACTTAGCATTAATATTTTGTTTATTTAGTTAATTTAACAGGTGTTGTGCCTTGCATTCAACAAATATATAAAATGGTAACCATCAAATTATGTGAATACTGAACATAGGTACAGTCAAAGTTTAGTGAATTGTCATGCCTGTTAAAAAGGTTTACTGTATTTACAAGTATAATTGTAAAAGTAGGTAATTCTATACATTCTGTAGCTAAACTCATACATCAGAACAAGCTGCAAGATTGCCAGAATAGAAATAGAGTTGAAGAACTCCAGAGGAGATAATTATGTTATAACAAGGACTATAACAGTTGATGGAAAATCCTCATGGCAGCTGGGATTAACTGCAGCAACGCAGAAGCAGGTAATGAACAATGCTGCATTACTGTCATAATTTTGGTGTTGTAAAATAGGCCATGACCACTTTCTCTCTCTTCATATTTTATGATAATTCTCTCATTTGCAACTGCTAAAGTGAAGTAAATAAACTAAAGAAAATTTAATCCATTATTTACTGCTCTGTCCTGGCAGTGAGAGGATTAATTCAGTAAATGTTCACCGTGTTTATATTTATATTGTAAAACATCTTAATGTTGTATTCCAAAATTCTAAGCAATTCCAATCTCTGGCTGCATACAAATGTTTAGATAATGCATTGGTTCAGGTTATGTGGAGAACACCTTCAATTGGGTGTGTTCATAAGTGCAAATAATGATCATATTGGGTACAGGAGAGGAGTGAAGGTATGGTATGCGATTTGTCACTTCTTCTTCTTCTTCTATGGCTCTCTGGTCCGCATTCGGTCCATGGCCTCAATTCTCCTCTTCCATTCGGTCCTCTGTTACGTCTGTCTGTCCAAGGCTTTGATTGAGGTTTCAAAACATCTTCCTTTTTTACAGTGCAAGGTTGTCACAGTTGTGAGAAATTCCAGTCTGTGCAGATCCATTTTCAGTGATATGGCTGGGTGCTGAATGTGTGCAATTTATGATAACATTAGCAAAATTTGTCCCATGAGAATTCTTTACTAAGCACAGGTATTCAGTGGTTCCCCATACTTTGTATTTATTGAATTTGGCATAGAGTGACATGTTTGTGTCCCACAAATTGAAAGGGACATGAAATGGAGCGCTCTCTGTTACACAAATCATGTCACAGGTATTGCACATTGTCCTGACAGATCACCAGTCATTAAGAATAGCTGGAGTCACTCAGTGGGACTCTCCATTTAAGGTAAATTGGAATACTTACTTTAACCTTTAATTTTGGCTCCAAATCCATAAAAAGTTAGAAATGGAATTCATTTGCTAAATTGTTATTGTTCCAGCATCAGTCAGCCAGTATGAAACCTTCATGTCACTCACTATCAGATGACCTCCAAGTTATTTCAACAATGCAAGTTTAAAATTATTATTATAACCCCACACTTTGGTGTCACTGTGACATAATAATGATTCTATGTTAATAGATAAAGAATGCCAATTAGGTGTAATTAGCATCAGCTGACAAATTAATAGTTGCAGACATAAAGAAATTACTTTCAGGAAGTAAATTGGCAGTTTTGGTACTGCCATAATTTTGTATAATTTTATTTGACTGTCTTTCTAGTGCTCCCTTTCAGTGACCTTCCAATTGTTCCATGTAAAATCAATCTAAATGTTACTTAAATTTCAGTTCATCCATCAAAGTAAACACAGTGCTTCTTCATTACAATGATTACTTGACTAGTGCTGTTAATTCTGGGCATCACATGAAACCCACAAACACATCTGTGGGAAAAATACAAAGCTATTGAACATTGGAGCAGGTGGTACATATAGTTAATAGTGCACTAATCAGGTTTGTTGCTTGTTCTGCAGGTTGAAGATCTTGTTAGCAAACTAAACATCCAAGTTTATAATTTGTGCCAGTTCTTGCCTCAGGACAGGGTGGCAGATTTTTCAAAGATGAACCCACAGCAACTGCTGGAGAATACAGAGAGATGTATTGGTAAGTGAGTTGATTCTAGGAATAAGAACATCAAGCATTTACATTGTATGGTGTGTATGGTAGTAATCTTGACTAGTTTCCATAGTCACACTGCTGACGTCTGGAAGAGAGAACTTTTCTTTTGTTTGTGTTGCAGTGTTGTAATAAGCATGTTTTGTGGAACACTTACATATTTGTTTGTTACATTATGAAGTTTGTGACAAATCTTTGATGCAAGATCTTTAAGAAATTGATAGTTATTGTACAAGTCAAGAAATTACTGGTAAGTACTTTTGTAAAACCTAGATCTTCATTACTTTATAGAAGCCATCATTGTATTGTCCACACTGATTTTCTCTAAGATCCATTGCAGTAGCATCCTATCAGCTCCCATGTGTTGTTTCCCTTGAGGCTGTTCAGTCAAAATGTTGTATTTCACCAACTTGTGCCACATATTTTACCCATCTCACCTATCATGATTTAATTACCCTACTTCAGATAGATATACAGATCTTTTCTCCTGGTCTGTGGACAGTACTTCCTTCAGAGAGAGATGCCATGTTCCAAGTCTTGAGTGTAACCCTCAGCTTGAGAAGCACCCCCTGTTGGTCATCTGTAACTCAATGGGATCTGAGTAATTGGAGATTGACCAAATGTTTAGGTTTGCTTAATTGTTTTTCTGTTAAGTCTTGTTTACATAATTTTTAAAATGGTGATTGCAGTTGTGTTCATTTTCATCATACATTGCATTCCATAGTTTCATGTTGTGTGGATGAGCAGACATCCATATTATCTTTGTGGACATAATGATTCACTGCACTGATGCCTAGTTCTAGGTAGACTATGTTACACAATTTGTTCTGTCTAATTGTCTGTAGATAGTCTTTTCATTAGAAGATGTGGAAACATTGTATTCTTGACATATTTTTTGACATGGCAAAGTCTATCACTCTAAACACCAATATTTTTACTAGTTTTATGTAAGCTCTTCTGTTTAGTTGTCTGAGAATGTTTTCCCTCTCTTTGCAATGAAATCTAACAAAATTATCATGTGATATACTGTACGATGTATTTTGTGAAACTGGGACCAAAATAACTGAACATTGCTTACTTAAGAACAGTGTATTAACATTTATTGTATGTGTACAGGGGGTTTAAACCCCCATGCTATGGGACTGCTGGTCACACTTCAGTTCTGGAGTTAACAGCTTTGTAGTATGCTACTGCAGTGCACAGCTGGCTGAACCACACATAAGATGTGATGTGCAGTTGATAAAAGTGAAAGTTTCCGCTGTATTCATTGTTGCAATCTGTAGGTCCGGCAGAAATGTTTGAACATCACACACAGCTGAAGGAATTACACAAACAACAAGTAGAATTGGAACACCAACTTAAGAATGTGTCTGGAAGGCTACAAAGTGAAAAAAAAATAAATAGCAGGTAACAGGTGATAGCAGAGTCCTAACAGCGACAGCTTAATTGCATGCCCAAAAATATTCATATTCAAGCCATTATGTAGCTTATGTACTCTTGTTTTCATTAGTGAGGCTAAGGACAAACAGTAACTCCTCATGCATTCCATACATTTTAATCTTATTTGTGAAAAACAAACTTGATAAAAAGTGTCACTGAAGTCTGAAAGGGATAGATTCTAATATGAAATATTAATACACTGTGCTGAGTGCCACTGAGGCCTGCATGGGACTTAACATACATAGTTATGGTATTTATGAAGAAAATGTTCCACTTTTTGATTATATTCTTGAACTCTTGTAAATCATGCGCCTCAGATTTTGATCTCAAATTTTTGAAAAAATGTTTGTGAAATTTGATACACAGCTGAAATAGGGCAGATGCTCAAGTTAGAGTGTCCATGTTTGGGAAATAAATTATGTTATATGACTGGACCTGTTGCATGTTGCAGAGTAGAGGTGGAAATGGTGAATATGATGGAGAAGAAGACGCTGCTTCAGAAGGTCGAAGAATTAAAGCAGAAACGTGCTTGGTTGCTGCACAATTCCATGCAGTCCAGAGTAATGAAGGTAATATTGTATAGTAAATCACATTTTAAATGTCAGGGTCTAGTACTTCATATTTAGAAGGTCCTGGCTTCAGATCTCAGTTCAAATACTGGTTATTCTGACTGAAGCATTTCATGTTTTTCTCAAGGCAAATGATGGGACAGCCACATCCTGTTGTATGACCAGAAGCTTTATTCAGTAGGCCAATAAACACAATACCCACCATGACTTTTCCATCTGATTTAACCCAGTATAGGTTGCGTGAGAAGTGCTGGCACTTGCGCAAAGGACTTATTTGTGGTTGTATGAGATGGACCTGTCCGAAGCACGCGCTAGAAGGGTTCCAGCTTCAGTTGGTTTGTAGCTCTAGCTGTGTTTAGATTGGTGCGTCACCGCAACTGAGGCTGTGTGACTACTACTACTGAACTACCCTCTCTCGGCATACATGTCATGCATTTAGGTGTCACCACTACTCGCGTGGCCAATATCTGAGGTAAAGAAATATAGCTGCCCAAGTGGTATGGAATATGAAGGTTTATCACATTGTTTTCACAAGCTTCTCTGAGCCAGTTTAGTTTACATCTTCACAGTCTGTTTTTCTAAGAGCCACTCTGATATCAGCTTCCATGCAGTGAGTTCTTGAGCAATGAGTCATGTAAGTGTCAAATTATTAATTCATTGCAGTGTTTTCAAGTTTGTCTGCCTCTGTCATTAAAGTTTCATAATGGGTCTAGCGGTTGGAACGCTGGCCTTGTAATCCTGGGGTCTCGGGTTCGATTCCCAGCGGTGCCCGAATTTATAACTTGTGTTGGGCAAGGCCGTGGTCTAGGCAACACGGAGTTTTCCTCCGGGGGCTTCCCCGGTTTCTCTGTGGCATCCCAACAATTACTCCATTCACACACAGAAGAAGGCAATGGCAAACCACGTCTGGATCATCTGCCAAGAACATATATGAACAGGTCCCAGTCTGAGAAAAGGATGGACCTATCGTCAGACAGAACACTAAATAAATAAATGGGAGGTGACTCAGCTGCCCATTGTATTTGTACCCATGACTCGTTCTCGTAGCCTTATATTCTTGTCCGTGAGTGAGCCAATAGGCGGAGTGGGTATAGTTAGGGAGTATCATCCCAGTCATCACACAATCTGTGTTGCTGAATGTTGACATTCCAGGCCATTACTTGTCATCGATCCTTCCTTATTGTCCTACTTTGTCAGTGTATGCTTGTAATAAGGTTCTATGATCAACTCTGTTGAAGTTTCTGGCATGTATCTGTATCTTTGTGGCCTCTTTCACTAAGTGATTCATGTAGTGTACCATTCTGGCTTAATACTGTGTTATTCTTGAAGTTGATATAGCAACCTTTATTGTTGCTGTGCTTGGCTGGAATTTGGACATTTATTATGTTGAATCTCCCCAGCAGAGACACAGGATTTAGTCTTCAGCTGGACGTGGAACCCAGTCATCAGCTTACATTAACAGAGTATGTCCATTAAGCAACAATGGAAGGCATATGTCAGGCAAGTTAAAGACTGTGATGACAAGAATGAGTGACCATCTGACTTTGCTTATTATTCCTATTGTCTTGATGTCATAGACCCAGACACTCATCACATCAGCCTTGATGTTGGAGGCATAGTCATTCTCTGAAATGCTTTACTTTACTTCCATACTTACACAGCTGACCGCCTGAGAAGATTACATGGCATTCAGTCTCTGTGAAAGCTTCATAACTTACATCATTCTTCCATGTTCGCCTACGTGTCTAAAGTAGCGTCTTCCCATAAAGCTTTTGAAACAAAACTTTATATGTCTTTCTTGTTTCCTTTGTGCTACATATACTGCCCATCTCTTCCTTCATGGTTTAATTGCACTTGCAATTTTAGGTGAATTGTACAAAATAGGAAGATTATCATCCATTTTAAATATTTTTGTTCCCTGTCACTATTAAATGCTGTAAAAATGGGTTGAACATCTTATTTTGGGACATGATGGTATTTGGGTGTCGCCCTCGGTGGACTAGTGGTTAGCATGCTCGCTGCTGGACCCAAGATTTGCGGGTTCAGACCCAGCCAAGGTCAGTGAATTTTTAAGGGTGATAACATTCCCTAGCACAATTCTTTCAAGGGGAAGTAAAGCTGGCGGTCCTATGTCATAGATTTACGGCATGTAAATGAACCTTACAAGCATGAAACAAGATATTTCGTAAGAAAAATTTAGCCGTCATTTCTCACCCAAGTCTCTCCTGATTCACTACTAGATGACTGTAGCAGTCAAATCAGAATTGAGTAGAAATTGTGCAGAGTTAGTGGGTTGGTCACTCACTACTCACAAATGCATGCTTCAGAGACTAGGAAAACCTCCGAAAAGGAGGTAGCAAAGACCAACAATTGGGTTATAGAGCCAAGAAAGAAGAAAAGATCACTATTAAGTGAACTATTATGTGTTTATGTGCTTGGCTGTTATATATATATGTAGTGTTGTTTTGTTTTGTTTCAGATGAAAGTAGATAAAAAGAACGCTACAAAATATTCAGCAATGCATGAGAAGAGATACGAACCAATGGAAAGAATAATTGAGGCTGCGAAAGCCAAGGTGAAGGAGACTGAGCGTAGTCTTGGAGCTGTGGTGAGCATTCAACTTTGTTTTAGCACTGTGTTGTGTTTTGAGAGTACTTGTTGCAGCACAGCATTACAAAGAGCTAGACTGCTGACAAATACAAACATTTTGTTTTTCATTTTATATTTTAAAAATATTTATCACCACTTGTAACCTTCAGCCTACTAGTGATACAGAGCTACCATGTTGGAACTGTTGATGACAAAGACTTAGTTAAATTTGTTTATTTAACAGGTATGGAAGTGGTGATATTAATATATATATATATATATTTATTAAACAACTTCAGAAAAGCACACAGTCTTGGGTAGAATGTATTTAGTTTGTATGTGTAAGCATGCTTTTTAGTTTCCATATTTTTTCTTTCATATATATTGAATTTGTGTTAAAACATTGCATTAGAGCATGTTTTGTTATGCAGTACATTACTTAAAATCAAAAGAAAGTGCATTTTAGTGATTTGACCTCTCAGTACAAACTGTTGTATTATTTGCCTCCACCTGAGTGCTGTGTGTAATTGATACTCCTTGCTTACCACCCAGAAGTACAGGCCAGTACTTCTTCAGGGCTTGAGATTCAGGGTCATGCCTGCTTGCAGAGGACTGATAAGTGCAGTGAATTCTGATAACCACTTCATGACTTGGTCTTGAGATGTTTGGGTGGTTTGTAAAATGTTTACATGTGTAACATTTGGCCTTGACACCGTAATGCAGCAGCGGTGTGACCTGGTTTTCATTTTTACAATGTCGATCTGCAGGCATAGGAATTTGGGTGCCAGCCAGGTCTCTGTATGTATTATATCTGTGTGTGTGTTCCTTTAAGAATGCAGAGGCAAAAAGGAAGCTTGCAGCACTGACAGACATGTTGGAGTCCATAGAGAAAACAGAGGATCTGATTAAGGAAAACAGGCAAGATTGTGAACGCAAGATTCAAGCTGAGCAGCTGCGTCAGAAGGAAGTTAGCTACTTGTTGCAACAGATCAACAAATTGCAGAATGACTTGAAGGGATCCACAAAGGAGTCAGGTATGTGTACAAATAGAAGTTGTATATGTTCTGAATTTTCATTGACTTATTTCAGAAGTTGATAATGAAATTTCCTGTTTGTATGAGTTCCAAAGGTTCATTACTGTGTCCACAACATCCATTCCCTTTACATATTCAGAACTAACTTCTCCATGCTCATGCCAACATCTAGCTCTTCAAAATGTTCTCTCCCTGTGAAATAGGCTACAAGCATATGACATTGATTCCGAGTCACTGTTTCTGACTATCCTGTTATTTTTCTTTGACATTTATAACATATTCAATTAGCATGGCATCATTAAACAACTTCAGAAAAGCACACAGTCTTGGGTAGAATGTATTTAGTTTGTATGTGTAAGCATGCTTTTTAGTTTCCATATTTTTTCTTTCAGTAAATGCTCTTAGAACTGAACTGGATGTTGTGAAAAAACAAATGAATGAGAAAACAGACTGTATCAGCAGACTGCGCCATGAGAGAGAGAAGCACCGCAGTGATCTTGAAAACATCACTCATAAAATTGGCTGTAAGTAGCCTGCAGCCAACAAAATGCAGAATAGCTCCTGTATTTCTGGTTCAGTAGTAGCCAAATCAGGATCATGAACACTGGTTTGGTTGACCCTTTTAAGCTGAAGTGTGTCTAAATTATATTTAAACATTCAATTTCTACCTCAAAGAAAACAACACTTCTGCATTGCAAAGGTTTAACTCTTTTTGTCTACTGTCTGCAATTTTGCTCATGCATTTGAAGTAGATTGAGCCAAAATTGTTTCTGACTGTGGATCGGCTGACTTGGGTTCTGACCCAGGCAGGGAGGGGCAAAGGATTTTTCTTGTAGCCTTTCCATTCAGACGGACTCTGAGGCCCACCCAGTCATTGATTCAGTGTGTATCAGAGGTTCTTTCCCTGGAGGCAAAGCTCAGCCAGGTTGTGACATTGACCACTCCCATATAGCGCTGTGGTCGAGAACGAGTAGGAGGTATACTCCCCCCCCCTCCAAGTGCCATTATGGCATGTAGAGGGACAGCTTTACTTTGTAGTTGAAGCAGATGCTGCAGCAAGTTTGTAGGGTATGGTCCCCAAAATGAAAAATTACACTTTGTGTTTATTTCACAGTCAGTCTGGCTGATGGTAAACTCAACATCCATTCCCTTTACATATTCAGAACTAACTTCTCCATGCTCATGCCAACATCTAGCTCTTCAAAATGTTCTCTCCCTGTGAAATAGGCTACAAGCATATGACATTGATTCCGAGTCACTGTTTCTGACTATCCTGTTATTTTTCTTTGACATTTATAACATATTCAATTAGCATGGCATCATTAAACAACTTCAGAAAAGCACACAGTCTTGGGTAGAATGTATTTAGTTTGTATGTGTAAGCATGCTTTTTAGTTTCCATATTTTTTCTTTCAGTAAATGCTCTTAGAACTGAACTGGATGTTGTGAAAAAACAAATGAATGAGAAAACAGACTGTATCAGCAGACTGCGCCATGAGAGAGAGAAGCACCGCAGTGATCTTGAAAACATCACTCATAAAATTGGCTGTAAGTAGCCTGCAGCCAACAAAATGCAGAATAGCTCCTGTATTTCTGGTTCAGTAGTAGCCAAATCAGGATCATGAACACTGGTTTGGTTGACCCTTTTAAGCTGAAGTGTGTCTAAATTATATTTAAACATTCAATTTCTACCTCAAAGAAAACAACACTTCTGCATTGCAAAGGTTTAACTCTTTTTGTCTACTGTCTGCAATTTTGCTCATGCATTTGAAGTAGATTGAGCCAAAATTGTTTCTGACTGTGGATCGGCTGACTTGGGTTCTGACCCAGGCAGGGAGGGGCAAAGGATTTTTCTTGTAGCCTTTCCATTCAGACGGACTCTGAGGCCCACCCAGTCATTGATTCAGTGTGTATCAGAGGTTCTTTCCCTGGAGGCAAAGCTCAGCCAGGTTGTGACATTGACCACTCCCATATAGCGCTGTGGTCGAGAACGAGTAGGAGGTATACTCCCCCCCCCTCCAAGTGCCATTATGGCATGTAGAGGGACAGCTTTACTTTGTAGTTGAAGCAGATGCTGCAGCAAGTTTGTAGGGTATGGTCCCCAAAATGAAAAATTACACTTTGTGTTTATTTCACAGTCAGTCTGGCTGATGGTAAACTTTCAAGAAAAATAGGCCATTAAGGGTTGACTTTTAATTATGCAAAGCTTTAATATTATGAACATTTGTTTCCATTCATATTGCTATTAAAGTATTGATCATCAGATACTAAAGCAGTATTAATATTTATTTTATTATGTCAGTATTTGTTCATGAAATACTAGTTGCGAATTAAACATAGAGATGAACTGTTTTTGAGAAATATAAGTCACGCCTTCAAGTAAAACAGTGATTATAGTCCTTAGGTATGAACCAAAAGGAAATTCTACCAAGAACTTTTAGTTCATTGCCCAGCAAATATGATGTGGACAAGAAACATATGAATGGACAGACATCCTCACCCTCTGCAATGATGTGAAGAAGTTGCTTTTATTATAACCTGTAAATGGAGTGAGTGTGATCATGTTACAGTGCAGAAAGAGGAACAACGGAAGATTCAGGATGTAGCAAATCAGCGTTTGGAGTTGTTACGTCGTAAACATAAAGACGTGTATGATGCTGTGATGTCGCTCCGTGAGAATAAGAACAAGTTCCATCATCACATATATGATCCAATGATGTTAGAGGTGAGAATTTTGTCCTGACAGAAAGATGTATATAACACATTGATGTGGCTTGTGAGCAAAGAACAAATTCTGTGCACTGTACAGTTTTATCTATCAACCAAATTGTTATAACATTTACGTTGATAATGATGTTATTTCCTTCTGAACTGACTGGAATTTAAATATAATTTAATGACACTTTCTTTTACCCTAAAACAGGTTCCTACATGGACTCCAAAATACATCAAATTCGGCTGCAGGAAGCTTCTCTGTTTTTTGATCTGTTCATTGGATACAACTATTTAATTGACATTGCTTTTTTGTTCCAGATTAATGTGACAAATCCATCTGATGCAAAATATATAGAGAAAATGATACCACATCGAGATTTACTTGCATTTACTTGTGAAGACAAAGAAGATATGAACAGTTTAGTGAGCATCTTTCGGGACCAAAAGAATTTGAAGATCAATGTTGTGCATTCAGGAAGTGAACATAGGCCATTTTCAAGCTTCAAGCCAAATGTTCCAATAAGTAACCTCAGGTAAGTATTAGTGCTTCTCAACCTTGTCTGATTGTCATCTTTATTCATTTTGAGTTTCTTCCTGCAAAGGCCCTGCAGCATTTATGTTTGATTACTTTTGACAGTACCACAAAAGTAAACTCTGAACTATATCAGGAGAGTATTAAAAATTATCCCTATCCAGTCTGTGTCCAGACCCTTCCAGTAAGTCCTGTCATTGATGACATGAAAGTTTATTTAGTCAAAGACAGAAAAATGTGACATTGTTAATTTGCTATGCTTTCATTTCCTAACTTATTTCATGTATATTTGTTCTGCCTGTGGCTGGATTATTTTAATAAATAAAAGCATTAAACAAAATTCATTTCAGTGCAATAAAATCTTTTTCATGTGAAGTGCAACATAAGATTAATGTTCCATGCAAAGACATAAGTCAAATGTAATTTGTATTGTCAGTGTGAAGATTGAGGTTGTATGTTCCTTCAAAAGGTGGTATTACATGTGAGTCCAGTGTTCCAGCTTAGAAGATCAACATCAGTGTCTTCATTGCTATGAGAGCCTCAAATCTCATTTCATTTATTTATTAACTAAATAATGTGCTTTTCTAATTATTAGGCATCTGGGGTTCTACACTTACGTGGTGGACATGATCACTGCCCCAGAACCAATAATGAAATACCTCTGTAGAATGTATCACATCCACAATATTCCCGTGGGGGATTCCAGTACATTCACTTGCTCTGACCAGGTACCAGGTTCATTCAACTACTTTTTCTCTGGTGAGTGTTACATTTTTCTTGTGACTGATCTAAGTTGTATGAAATGAAATAATGTAATGTTTTTTGTTTCAAACCTGTAGAAAGACAAAATACCCACACAATTATAGAACCTGTCCTTGAATATATTATATCTTAAGGTGTTTCAGTAAGAGTTGATTCTGTACTTTACTTTTACAGATAAGCATGTATTTCAAGTGAGATGCTCTAAGTACTCTGGAGAAAAGTCAACAAACACGAGTGAAATTCCTGACCCTTTCTACCTTGCCATTTCAACGAATGTGCAGCTCTTGCAACAAGTACAGGACAAGCAAGTTTCCTTCTCTTATTTTACTCAATACTTTATCAGTAATAGCATTAAGTATGTCATATATGGGTTTAATGTTATTACCAGTTGGATCAGAGGTTAGTGACATATAAATATGATTTTCAGTGTTTAATACCATGCTTATCCAAATACCGTCTTTTTCTGTGGCGCAACAGCCCGAAGTCGAGCCTTGGCCTCCTCCCAATGTGGGAAGTTTCTGTGTCTTTGAAGTGTGCATTTGTGAGTAGTGAGTGACCAGCCCACTTACTCTGCACAATTTCTACTCAATCCTCATTTGTCTGCTAGAACCATCTAGTATTGAATGAGGAGAGACTTGAGTGAGAAATGGCAGCTGAATTTTGCTTACAAAACATCTCATTCATGATCGTAAGGTTCTTTTACATGCCGTAAATCTACGACATGCGACTGCTGGCTTTACTTCCTCTCTGAAGGAAGTTGTGCTAGGGATTGTTATCACCCTTTAAAATCCATCGACCTCGGTTAGGTTTGAACCTGCAAACCTTGGGTCCAGTGGCAAGCACGCTAACCACTAGTCCACCAAGGGCGACATCCAAATGCCATCATGTCCCAAAACAATATGTTCAATCCATTTTTAAAGCATTTTCTTAAAATAGACTGATACTAATGACTGAAACTATCTGGTGATTCCAAATGTCTTCTTCATTCCTTCTTCTGATGGACTTGATTTGATTATGAAATTTATGCCAGACTTGCTGTCATTCATAATTTTGTCCTCTGTTAGTGCTCTTAATTTGTTTGTTTCCATCTGTATGTCTGTATGTTGTGTTCATACTTCAGAGGGAAGCAGTACATTTCTCTGGAACTAGTTATCACAGTTATGAACCTTGTTCACTTCACTGATCATTCTCTAGTTCATATAAGTTTCCATAAAAAGTGGTCATTTTTAATGTCCAGTTTTAAGCAGAACCAGTTCTGGTTAACATATTTTAGTGAAATTTCTCAGTATAGAATTTATAAAGCTATATCTGGTAATTCTTCAGTTAAAACATACAGACTGATATAACCATGTCTGTGTGCATTAACTTCATGCAGTTTATGCAAAAAGCACATAACACAACATTTTTCACTGCAAATAATCTGGCCACTGTATATTTTAATGTCATGAGCTAATATTTAGAAATTATTGTTGTCATTGCAGATTGATTGATCTGAATGGACAGAAACAGCAAAAGATTAGCACATTGGAAGACATTCAGAAACAGATGCATCAGATTGAAGTGGAAATGGAAGAAATGCGTTCTCGCAAGCATAGTCTTATGGAGCGCATGGAGCAGCTGAGAACTGTAGAAGTTAAACTCAGTGCGAAGCAGAGGCAATGGGAGAACCTGGAACAGGAGAAGTTGGACCCTGAGTTGGAGAAAGCCAAGTGTAGGGCGGATAATCAGGTACAGTACCAAAGAACTTGCCATTAACTGCACTGGGAACTGTACAAGCAGGACTTGGAGAACATGACTTGATGGTCTCTGAGTTAGAGAAAGCCAAGTGCAGGTTTACTGTTTTGAGTCCTTCTGAAGTGAATAAATAATAGCCCCTTCAGCTCTGCTGATGATCAGAGTTGGTGTTTTGAACTTTAGTGTAGTGGTTATCACACAGCTTCCTGTTTGGAAGGTTGCTCCCAATGGGGAGTGACCACAGGGTTCAGGTGAAAGTAGGATAAGCAGAAGAAGAAAAAGAGGAACAGTGAAACACAGCTCACTCAGACTGCTTCTCACCTGTCTACACAGTGATCATTGGGTGTTAGTTTGTATGAAGACAGGTGAATTCAGGCCTTGCTTACTCTGTATACTTCTTTACTGTTGGAGTCAATACAGTGTTCGGGTATTGCTGATCATCGTTAATCCAGTCTTGTGTCTTGGATGTTTGAAAATCTTAGTGGAGATGTGGCAGTCCATCTCGCTGATGTGAACCTTAGCAAAGGAGCAGGGAATCCTGAGCAGTTGTATAATAAAATTAACATTCTAATTGCTGTCTGCATTAAAATCTATTATGAAATATGTTGCGTTTACATTTTTGTTACCATTATATCTGAGTTAAGGGAATGTTATGGAACCATAATGTTCATTGGATCAAGACTGAAGTTGGTCCAGTCCATACTTCTAGACTACATTTTCTTGAGATATATTTTTAATATTATCCTTCTGTGCTTGCTTATCCATGAACATCTTTTTCTGTATATTTTCTGACCATAATTGTGTATAAAGTTCTTGTTTTCCTAATGTGTGCCACATGTCCTTATTTAGTCCATAAATTATATACCTTAGCAATATTAGGTGAAGTGTACAAATTTTGAAGCTGTTCCTTTTCTCCATTCTTCTATTACTTCCCTCCTCTCAGTCTCCATTGTTAAAACCACTGCTTTGTAATTGTTTTATGTGGCATCTAGTCCAATATGTACAGGTTTGGTTGCTCCATGGTTGTCTGCTCTGTGTTTACAGTTGCTAGTGTTGAAATTGACTGATCAGAATGTGCAGATGATCAAGCTTTTTAATCATTATGACCAGTCTCTCATTGAGAATCAAATTTTGCATCAAGAGTTGGAGAATGTGAGAAATGAAACTACAAAGAGAGAAATGGAGTCACGTCATCTCCTCCAGAAGTGGAATGAAGCCAAGGTATTACTTCAGTTATTTTGTCCTGCATTTTATGTAATAACCAACTTCATGATATTAATAAACCATGTGGTTAATCTCAACACTTTTCTGACTAATACTGAACCTTTATGGTGGTTGATATACTCCTTTATTTACCCCATCATGTGACAATAATTTAAAAACAAATGATTGGAGAAATGCTTAGTTCACTAAGGATGGCTATGAGTAAGCAATGTTAATAACAAACTCTGTGGTTGATCTGACTGAGAAATCTCCTATTTCTTATAAAACTCCATCACTGTGAACATAAGGCTTATTATTGTGCTCTTTAAGCTATGTCGCTGGAATTTATTTTAATATTATTCTCCCATCCCCAGTGTAGCACCATGCACCACATTTTCCCTCTGTCTTCATGACATTGTAGGCAATGCAGTGCAGTAGCCAGCACTTTGGCTTTGTGTTTCAAAGTTCACAAGTTTGAATCTTGGTCCAGGGACTGGCTGTCATTATGTCATTTTAACCCCAGTCCCCACATCTAACTCCATCTGCCATGTTTAAAGTTGCAAAAAATTAAATTAAATACAGGTAGCCCTCGATTTACGCCAGGGATGCATTCCTGGACGAACCGGCAAAATCCCACGCAGCCTCAAGGTGTCTGACTAGTTCTCTTGAAATGTGTCCTTACTTCCATCTTGAGGCGTCGAACAAGAGCTTCTTCCTTGCAGATAAATTTCTTGTATTCGCATGGTCTGAATATCTTCTCACAAAATACATAAAATATTTTAGTGATGAAGTGTGTGTCCATATGTATGTTTTGTCTCAAATAACGTAACACATAAGTGTAAATGTAAAATTTGGTATCAGAGGTCGTCGGTGAGTGTTTTCCGGCAAACGCAGAAGTACTGATGCTTTATATTGAGCTCAAATTTCAAAAAGTCCTGGTAAAGAAGTTCTTATGGAATCCGAGGTATAAATAGAAAGTTAATATTAAGTAACATTAAAGAAATGAAGTAGTAGGTGTGGACTGTATTCATGTGGCCGAGGGTAGAAATCAGTAATGAACTTCGGGTACCATAAAAAGTTGTCAGTGGAACCACGGTTCCGGAGAATTTGACGTAAATACGTCTATACGGAAAGGAAGTTTATATATTGGCTTTATTCTAAATATTTCCTTTATACATGCTTTACAGTTGAGTAAAGTTTGATTAAGACATTGCTTATTTAACTTGAATCAATTACGCTTAAGATGGGTCTGTAATGAATGTAATGTAAGGTAAGGTAATGTAAGGTTAGGTAAGGTAATGTAAGGTAACTATGTAGGTAACCATTGTTTATTTGTTGATAAACAGATGACGTTTCCAAGGTAACATAACAATGAAGTTACACTTTTTCGTTTCCCAGGTAACATAACAATGACGTTTGACGTTTCCTAGGTAACATAACAAAGTTACACTTTTTCGTAACACTTTTTCATTACATTTTTGCCGAATGACACTGGCCCTAAAATATAGACGTATTTATGTCAAAAATTCGCGTTAAGGAAACATACGTAATTGCAGAGATGACTGTATTTATAATTTTTATTCAAAATCAGCAATGTAAGAATTACGATTTAGTATGAGAATCAGTACGAGATACATTGTAAAATGTTATAAATAATAGTAAAATACATTTTTTCACTTTTTGACTTGCTGGTTTCAAAATCGGCATTATTCTGAACCGTCGCAAATCGAGGGCTACCTGTATATCAGAGGGTCATCACAGCTTTCTTGTTCATCTCTTCTGCATTATCATTTAATGTTCTTGTTTAAGAAATGCCAAAATATGTATGAAAACACAGTAAAAACCTGTGATTGCTTCCTATTGTCCTTTATTATTGTCATCAGAAAACTGAATGCAACATGACACTGAAGAATAGTTGCATAAAGGTTTATAAGAGAGGTGTGAATTTTATGAATGCATCATATTTCTTTTTCATTTATACTAGATGATGGCTCTAAATATAGAGGAGAAATTGCACGAAGCAGAAATTGAATTAAAGAGGCTTTTTGAAGAAGCTAAAGCTATGACAGGGGGTGTTAGCCCTGATGATGTGGAATTTGAGAAATTCAGAAGCGTGTTCCTTGGATTTGGAAACACTGAAGAAGAAGTGAACAGAGAAATTCAAGAGACAAAAGCCAAGGCTGACTGTCTGAGGGATGCAAATGAAATGGTAAGCTGATTGTTTTGTTTTCAGGAAGGAACGAAAGGTGATACAGTGTCAGGTAAGTTTCATTGTGAAAAATGATCACTTGAAAGGATTAATTATATATGAAAAATGAAGTTAGATGTAGGAAAGGAATTGGTTTAAAATTGGTTTGCTGATTTAACAGTGCAGAATAACACTTTAACCAGAGACCCTTTTAATCTTAGTGAATCTGTCAAATATGTGGGTCATTTATTGTCCCATTCTGTCTGCAGTTGTCCAAGGAATGCAGTTAGTCACATTGGCCTTCAGAATAGACTGCAGGTTTGGTGACCACACCAGAGCTGTGAAACTGAAACCAATCCACACCAATGAAAATTACATTATTTTAAATGGTATTATTTCTAGCCATGGCCTAGAATCCTGATTTTTCATGAAGGAGGCTAAAATTAAAGTAGTTTTCTTCTACATTTCATTGCAGAAAAGTTTCTTGGTGATGTGTTTTCCCTTATGTATATATGGGTTTGATAGCATTCATTCAGTATACCAACAAACTTGAATTAATGCTTATGTTACAAACTACATAGTATGAAAGGATATAAGAGCCTAATAGGCAAAAAACCTGCAGAAACACTAAGTTACAAAATACAAGAAAAATTGCAAATTAACAAAGTCCCATATAAATTCATGTCAGAGACCAGACTGGCTAGCTGACACATTCTGTTGTTTAATTGTGCTTGTCATGTTGGTAGGTGCATTGAAAGTCCAGGTTGCATTTTCATGAATTGAGCCATTGGTAGTCTTACATAAATCTAAATGTGAATCATCATAAATCATTGTAGATTACGTCATGACATAAGAGTATCTGGGAAGATCAGAGAAAAAACAAGACAATCAATTGCTTTTAATGAACCTTTTGTATGCAGCTAAAATTATGCATGTTATTTGGTGATTTATAAAGTATGTTGTTCTGGATAACAGAGCTTTCTGCTTTTGTTTAGGATGTCCTAATAATTCACTTTTCATGTCTTCAAGGTGATACAAGACTATGAGGCACGGAAAAGTCAAATTGTTTCACTGACTGCTGACATTCAGATAAGGGAAAAGGAATCTGAGACGCTGAAAGAAGAGATGGCAAGAATCAGTGGACTATGGCTTCCACCCCTAAGGAAACTTATGTCACAGTTTAACAAGAAATATGGAGAATGTTTTGCTAGACTTGGATGTGTTGGTGAAGTGACTTTGTTTACAGGAGATGACGAGGTAAAACACTGTGTTGTGGTTGCAGTAATATAGCATAAGGGTTTGAGTATGATGGTTCTGGAGTGGGAGAAGAAACAGCCTGCATTACTTTGGACGATTGACGCTTGCAATACAACAACGTTATTTCACAGTGAGGAGGCATTTTCATGCTGTGATGGTGTTCACAGGAAACTGGTTGTTGTGCAGTGCCATATTTAAAAATTGTGACTAGGGAGGGTAGAGATGCCATCTCTGGACTTTCATACAATATGAATATTCCATGCACTGCATACATTGCATGTTAAGTTAAAGAATATGAAGAGCAGCATGAAGTAAGCTGTCCAGTGTGACTGTGAATAAAATAAAGTTAAATGTGTACACTAGGTAAAAACGAGGGCTGTACGCTGCCCTGATGACTATAGATAAATTTTATGTTCCAACTAATTTACTGCCACTGACATTGATTGGACATGCAGCAACTGTGACGTCAAGCAGAGGAGGGGGTCTCTATGTCCGGAGCTGGCTGTGTTTCTGTTTGAATGCTGCCACCTTGAAGTTAGTTCTGATTGGTGGTTTGTGTTTTTCAGAAAGATTATGAGCAGTATGGCCTGAACATTAAAGTGAAGTTCAGAGATGGTGAGCAGCTTCAGGAACTCACTCAGCGTCTTCAGAGTGGGGGAGAAAGGGCTGTTGCCACAGCGATATACTTGATCTCATTACAAGAAATCACACATGTGCCTTTCTGTTGTGTGGATGAGATAAACCAGGTAATGTGACTGAGTGGTTTATTCTGCCCATGACATAGTAAATGCCTTTTCTGAAAATAATAGTTGTAGAACAATTATTTGGTTAGAAAGGGGCCACAATTAATGAGGGCAGCGCATGTAGTTAGTCTGTTAATCCAAGTGATGAAATGTGTTTTTTTGGTAGAACCAAAACATGCATTGAAAGACAGGCTTTGCTACCACTTGAATTCCTATTTCCAGTCATGAGGAGACACAGTGTTTAATATGACATTATTACAAGGCAAATTATTGAACATAGGTCCTTTTCTCACTCTCAATTCTTGGTAATAAATTCTACCCATGTCCCTCAATAACTTAATCATTGGGTTTTTTATTTCCTTTTATTTTCTGTGTTTGTTGCTCTGGTGCATTCCAATTATTGAAGGTCATCAATCATCAATGTTTTAAGTTTCCACTGTTTACTGACCTGTTAGAAGAGGATGAGGTGGATTTATCAGTGATCGATGGTGGAGTCTTTTCTGAAAATCCATACAAATTATGTAGAGAGCTTTAGAGATAAGATTGATTGCAGGCTTGCAGAGACACAGCAGTCACAAAAAGTGGATGTAGTTTTATTTCACTGAGAGTTTAGAACCTCATAGTTGGATTTTAATTTGAAAGTATTAAATTCAAGACATTTTATGTATGGCAGTGGTATTTTATGTATTGGTATTGTTGCATAAATTCAGCTCAGCTGGTTTCAGATGGAACTGAAGTGCACCATAATACCTCATACTCATATTTTTATTTGAAGTTTGATTATAACTCTGAGCTCCATGTATTTTTAGGGCATGGATGCTATTAATGAACGCATGATATTTGAACTTATGGTGACCACATCGAAACGGATTGGCAGTGCTCAGTACTTCTTTTTGACTCCAAAGGTAAACCATAGTAATGTTCAGTCATTTTAGGTATGTTCTCATGTTAACTTAAAGAATATACCCTAAGTTATAAATTCCACTGTTATTCTCAGAGCATCATCTCACCATATACGAGGTGCGATCGGAAAGTTTCAAGACTGCACGTATAGAAACCCGTACACTTATCTCAGGTATTAAATTCATCCATCACCCTCGAAGTAGTTCCCCTGGGAGTGAACACAACGATCCCAGCGCCGCTGCCAAGCCTGGAAGCATCCCTGGAAATCTTTCTTTGCCAGCCTGTCAAGCACCATCTGCGATCTAACATCTAACCATCCCATCTCTCCTCCCCGAAGCGCTTTCAAGGCGTGTAGTGAGGATAGTAGGTGAATTTCATTTCGCTACGTATCGGACAACAAATATTCCTCAGAGTACAAATTGTAATAATCGTAATTCTCGTTAATATTGAGTACGTGGAATAATTAGACTGCATTAAAGTTCACCTTCATGTAACTCACTACAAGCAAGTGTGAACAGTTTGTACGCAATAAAATTTATGAGTATAGACACCGGAAAACATTTACTGTAGATCAGATTGTTGAAATAGATCTGTCTAAAAGACTTAACAAACTTGAAGATGGCTGTCTTCTGGGTTGTTGGGCCGTGTAGTCCGGTTGTAATTCGCCGACATGGTTACCTCCATCATCAGGGCGATGAGTACCCCCGATGATGGAGGCAGAAAATACCTCTGAAAAGTAGGTAAACTTCTACCAGACTACATTACGCAACAAACTATAAGACAGCCATCTTCAGACTCACCGCCTTGAAAACCTCAAATGCTACTGAAGAAATCTTCTCTTTTAATCCTGCTTTGCGCTATGGATCATATATTTCTTTGCGAGCTTCGTTTTTTACACGTTTCTTTGTTATTTCGCTATCAATATTTTCTTTGAGCTATACTTTATCTGCCCGAATGCCTCACAAAAGTTTGTGCACGACCCATTTCGAAGTATTTCCCCAAATGCTTGCTTTAGCATTTCATAGGTTTCTGTAGCCGTTTTGGCGAGTCTTTGGCAAAATTTGATGCACCCGCCATTCCGAAATCGCAGGAGGGTCGGTGTAATGACCTACCAAAACGCCCGTAACTAAGAAACAAATGCTAATTCGATGATGCCGGCTGGCACACTGATTCACTATGAATGTAGGCCGCACCCCGTAGCGGTAGAAGCTCGTACTACATCCGGTTCGCCCTCTATTGACACAGTCTTGAAACTTTCCGATCGCACCTTGTATGTGAGTGGAAGAAAACCTTTACACTTGACGGACAGATGTGTGTTATGTACTGTATATTATGAAAGTCTTTCTTACAATTTAATATGCAGTCAGACAGTTTCTTCTATGGTACTGCATGTAACTTGTCAGTCAGATTTATAACGATGTTACGTTTTTTTAATTTGTTCTGCAGCCAAAGGGTTTATGTAACTTTACCATCTTGTCAGTATGCCTTCTGGTTGATGTTTTGCTGTTCTGTAATTATGATACATAATATCCAGGTTTTTGATGCAACTCTTTTATTGTGCTCCTTTGTAACACCAACTGTATTCTTCTTCTGATAAAAAAAATGTTAGTTTCCCCTAAGTGGTAATACTTCAGTGTTTTCAGGATTTAATATGTAGGTGAACTAAACACAGCAGCTGTATAAACCAATGCTGACAAATGGCTGCACAGTAAGTAAACAGTTTGCTTCACTGTGATATTGTTGTGTATGTAGATGGGAACATGTTAAGTAGGCTATTAACCTTTATCGTATGGGAATACAGGATTTAAATCCCTGTATTACGAGGCTTAAAACCAGACTTTAGCTCTGGGTTTAACAGTTTAGTGGTGTGCTAGTGTGCTGCACAGCCATGTGGATCCCATGTAAGCTGCATCACATATACAATGAATGTTATGTTAACTAACTCACTATGTGGAACAGAGTACCTCTTGATAATGTAATAGTCACTTAGCTAGTCAGGAATTTTCTGTCCGGAGCCAGATACGAGGTGCGATCGGAAAGTTTCAAGACTGTGTCAATAGAGGGCGAACCGGATGTAGTACGAGCTTCTACCGCTACGGGGTGCGGCCTACATTCATAGTGAATCAGTGTGCCAGCCGGCATCATCGAATTAGCATTTGTTTCTTAGTTACGGGCGT